CCACCCACCCAGGTGCCCCCCCACCACCCACCCACCCAGGTGCCCCCCCACCCAGGTGCCCCCCACCCACCCACGTCCCCCCCCCACCCACCCACGTGCCCCCCCCCACCCACCCGCCCCCCCCCACCCACCCACCCAGGTGCCCCCCACCACCCATCACAACGATCGTCACCACCGTCACCACCACCACGACGGTCACAGCGAGAGAGAGCGGGCGCGGTGTGTTGAAGGCGCGAGGGGTAAACTCACGTGCGCAGAGACGCGGGCTGCTGCCCGACGACTCGTCGACGAGGAGTTCAACTTTCTCGCGGCTCGCTCGCTCGCAGCTGAGGTTGGGTGTGGGGGGTGGGTGGGGGGTTGTGTGGGGGGTGGGTTGTGTGGGGGGTGGGTGGGGGGTTGTGTGGCGGTTTGGGTGGAGGCGGTTGGGTGGGGTGGTGTGTGGGGGGGTGGAGGGGTGGGGTGTGGGGGTTTGGGTGGAGGCGGTTGGGTGGGGTGGTGTGTGGGGGTTTGGGTGGAGGCGGTTGGGTGGGGTGGTGTGTGGGGGGGTGGGTGGGGGGTGGAGGGGTGGGGTGTGGGGGTTTGGGTGGAGGCGGTTGGGTGGGGTGGTGTGGGGGTGGGTGGGGTGTGGGGGTTTGGGTGGAGGCGGTTGGGTGGGGTGTGTGGGGGTGGGTGGGGGGTTGGGTGTGGGGGGTGGGTTTGGGGGGGGGTTGGGTGTGGGGGTGTGGGTGGGGGTTGGGTGTGGGGGGGGCTACGAGTGGGGCTGGGGGGGGGTGCCGAGCTGCAGGGCGCGCGCGTTCACAGACGCGGGCGGTGGTGGCGCGTCACGTGACACGCGCAGGTTACAGCCCCGCGCGTGTCACGTGACACGGGGGGAGGGGTGATGGTGAGAGGGGGGGGGAGGTGTTAAGGGGCGGGGTGTTAAGGGGCGGGGTGATGGGGGGAGGGGTGATGGGGGGAGGGGTGAGTGGGGGGAGGGGTGATGGGTGAGTGGGGGAGGGGTGAGTGGGGGGAGGGGTGATGGGGGGAGGGGTGAGTGGGGGGGGGATGATGGGGGGAGGGGTGATGGGGGGAGGGGTGAGTGGGGGGTGGGGTGATGGGGGGAGGGGTGAGTGGGGGGAGGGGTGATGGGGGGAGGGGTGATGGGTGAGTGGGGGAGGGGTGAGTGGGGGGAGGGGTGATGGGGGGAGGGGATGATGGGGGGAGGGGATGATGGGGGGAGGGGTGATGGGGGAGGGGAAGGGGTGAGTGGGGGGAGGGGTGTGTGGGGGGAGGGGTGAGTGGGGGGAGGGGTGTGTGGGGGGAGGGGTGAGTGGGGGGAGGGGTGATGGGGGGAGGGGTGATGGGGGGAGGGGTGATGGGGGCAGGTGTGAAGGGGCCATCCACTTAGTAGGCTGCGCAAAAAGTCTGTCAAACCTTGACCCCCCCTCCCTGTACGCACGCGAACCTTTGACACCCCCCCCCCCGAATCCTATAGAACGGCCGATATTAATCCTCGCAGAAACGATCGAGGATTAACAATATTGCCGTGACTGCAGGGATCCATTCACTTTGGTTCTTTCGGTAAAGTCACGGAGGTAGAAAATTAATAAAATCAACGACGTTTCGGGCGCAACACCAGCCTGATGACTGACGCTTGTGTTGCGCCCGAAACGTCGTACTTTAATTTATTTTATACCTACGTGACTTTACCGACAGAACCAGAGTAATATTAACGTGTTTAAGCAAACAGATCGTCCACCGCCGGACGATCCAATTCATCTTCTTGGTTCTTTCGGTAAAGTCACGTAGAAGAAAAATAATAAAATAATAAAAATAAAACATAATAAAATCATTGATAATTGGTTTTTTTACCCTTCTATCTGGTAACAAAACTGACAACTTTTTACGAGGAGTCATGTTTGCATAGACCGCAATACCTGCAGTCATAATGCAAACAAAAAACATAACTCTGATAATGTGCACTGTCCTTGAAGTTGATTGGTCCACACCCGAGACAGCTTTCCTTAGAGCCCAGTCTCACATGGGTTGGACCAGATGACGCCAAAAGGCGCAATAAAATAATTCTCACGACGTTTCGGCCACAACGCAAGCAGCCGTCATCAGGTGGAGAACAGGTCTGCCTTCTCGACAGACCTGTTCTCCACCTGAAGACGGCTGCTTGCGTTGTGGCCGAAACGTCGTGAGAATTATTTTATTATGTTTTATTTTTATTATTTTATTACTTCCCTTCTACGTGACTTTACCGAAAGAACCAAGAAGATGAATCCCTGCAGTCACGAAATCTTTAAATCGAAGGTCAATGTAGATAAATTGTTATCGAGGCTTCAACCCCCCCCCCCCCCGTTTCCTATGCGCACATTGTCAGTAGCCCCCCCCCCTCCATAGGCACGCTACGAATTTGGGTTAAACCTCCCCCCTTCATGCGTACGGACTAAATGGATGGCCCCTAATCGGTGTATCGACTCCGAATGGAATCTTGCGATTCAGTGAGCGGAATCGATTGTTGACGCACTCAGAGAGGGGGAGGGGTGAGGAGTGAGGGAGGGGTGAGGGAGGGGTGAGGGAGGAGTGAAGTGGGAGGGGGGAGGGAGGGGGGGAGGGGTGAGGGAGGGGTGAGGGAGGGGTGAGGGAGGGGTGAGGAGGGAGGGGGGAGGGAGGGAGGAGAAAGGGGGAGGGGTGAGGGAGGGGTGAGGGAGGGGGGAGGGAGGAGAAAGGGGGAGGGGGGAGGGAGGGGTGAGGGAGGGGTGAGGGAGGGGTGAGGAGGGAGGGGGGAGGGAGGGAGGAGAAAGGGGGAGGGGTGAGGGAGGGGTGAGGGAGAGGGGAGGAAGGAGAAAGGGGGAGGGGGGAGGGAGGGGTGAGGGAGGGGTGAGGGAGGGGTGAGGAGGGAGGGCGGAGGGAGGGAGGAGAAAGGGGGAGGGGTGAGGGAGGGGGGAGGGAGAGGGGAGGAAGGAGAAAGGGGGAGGGGGGAGGGAGGGGTGAGGGAGGGGTGAGGGAGGGGTGAGGAGGGAGGGCGGAGGGAGGGAGGAGAAAGGGGGAGGGGTGAGGGAGGGGGGAGGAGGGAGGGGTGAGGGGTGAGGTGTAGTGGGGGGGGGGGGCAGCTTGATCATCATCACGATCCATGTGCAGATATCCCGTAATCAGTGTTCACCGCACATTTCGTCATTTGTTTCCACTTACATCTGTCTCGTTGTGCCCACACAGCTCAAGTAGTGGCCACATCTTTCTGGCATCAAATCTCTTCTGATGTCGTCAAGCACATTCTCTGTGAGCTCTTCCTCTCTTTCCGAACAACAACAACCACCACACTTTGAATGTCCCCGTCGTCGTTGTTGTCCATCCTACAGATGTGTCCAAATAATGCTAATTCCCTTCTCAACCAGGTGGTTCCTTTTCGATTTAAAGCTTTCGTGACTGCAGGGATTCATCTTCTTGGTTCTTTCGGTAAAGTCACGTAGAATGGAAATAATAAAATAATACGCATTTCACAAATAGTACTAATCGCATATCTGCATTTCCCATAATTATGCTAAATGCCTCTTGATATGCTAATTATTTTGTCAAGGCGCTCTTCCCCCCTCCATCCCAGATTAAATAGTCGCTCCAAGCCTGGGGTGTGTCATTCAGACTCTGTCTTCTCGACAGACCTGTTCTCCACCTGAGGACGGCTACTTGCGTTGTGGCCGAAACGTCGTGAGAATTATTTTATTATGTTTTATTTTTATTATTTCCATTCTACGTGACTTTACCGAAAGAACCAAGAAGACAGGTGGTTCCTACCAGTATAATTGATCTCTGTCTGGTACCATGTGTTGTTGGGAACCATTCTCATAATTTCCTGTCCAAACCTTAAATGCTGACTTTGAACCTTTCACCGATATCCTGCAGAATCTTTGAGTAATTTTCCGACTCCGTATGATCTGGATTGCGATCCGCCGAGGGGGAGTTGAGTAGCTTGATAAGCGGTCATATTTACATTGCTATATACAGGCGGCTTCAATAAAATGTTAACACCTACATGGGACTGTCGTTTTTAATGGAAAAAGGACGGATGATACACTGTAACATGATAACAAATGTGTGTTACTCTTTGGTTCTTTCGGTTAAAGTCACGTAGGTAGAAATAAATTAAATCACGACGTTTCGATCGCAACACAAGCGGCCGTCATCAGGCGGAACCGATACAGCAGGACAACTGCTGATTTAGGAGAAAGATCTGCTAACAACAAGAGCTCATACAGGGTTTTGGTGGGATCAACCCCAGGGGCAAGTGGGTGGAGCGTGAGAAGGAAGAACAGGGGGGATGGAGGGGGGCACAGGTAATAGATGGAAGCTGGATTAGTGATGCTGAGACAATTAGCATGTCAATGATACTGGATGTTGCAGCGTTGGCTGCCGCGCTGAGACAAGGGGAGGCAGGGAGGGAGCTGGGCACAGGTAATAGATGGAAGGGAGAGAGAAGCTGGGTTAGTGATGCTAATGTGAGACAATTAGCATGTCTATGATACAGGATGCTGCAGTGTTGTGAGAAAGGGGGGGGGAGGTAAGGGGGGAATTGGGCACAGGTAATAGATGGATGTTAACAAGATTGTTATCAATCAGAGTAACAAACGTCGTGATTTATTTTATTTCTACCTACGTGACTTTACCGAAAGAACCAAAGAGTATGGATTCCTGCAGTCACGAAAGCTTCAAATCAAAATGTATGGTGATAGCTTGAAAAAGCTGTCTCGGGTGTGGACCAATCAACTTCAAGGACAGTGCATATCATTATCAGAGTTGTTTCTTTGTTTGCATTTTGACTGCTTGTGTTGTGGTCATTGCAAACATGATCCCTTGTATAAAGGTGTCAGTTTTTGTACCAGTTGAAAGGGTAAAAAACCTACTACTAAATAATTTGTCGTTGAACCAAATCTTGACTGTAATCATGGCTATTTAAGCCGCACATCTTCACGGTGATGCTGAAGTCGTAGAGGTAAGCAGAGGAGGCGGCGGCAATTGGGAAAAACAATCTAACTTTTTTTATTTAACCAGATGAATCCGTTCAAATTCACTATGCATCGTTACAAACCACAAGCAATAAAATATATTCACATAAACACAGCTCGGCTAGTAGAAAGCTACACGGTTTCCCATTCATGCGCTCACACTAAGGACACAGAAGCCGTTCTGCACCAACTCAAATTTCCGAATTTCCACGTTGCCTCTGGTGCTTAGCTAAGCTTTATGGACACGGACTAAGCAATCAGAAACGTGAGCTAAAACATCTGAAATGTTTAAAGAATATAGTTAATCTATGTCAGTTGAACCATTTAAAGTTAGGCTTGTGTAGCTCTATACACTCGTTGTCTTCATTTTTCAAAAACACCAAGTCAGAGAGAGGGATCACATCGCTACCAGCATGTGCTGCTGCTGCCAGAACATGTCTGCTTGCACCAGATACTGTTGGTGACCGACAAACCACGTGTTTCTCAGTTGTCCTCTGACATCTACGCACGACTTACATATAGTTGTAACAAAAAACGTGAGTAGATTACAATAGAAGGCATTTAAAACTATATTATTCACCTAACATTGATACGGTGGATACAAGGACAAAAAAAACGAGTTACGCGTCCACATGGCAAGAAACTACCAACTCCTTTCTCACGATAATTACAACACGTTACCGCTCATGTCATCTGCACAGCAACAAACACAACCGCACAAACCCGGAGACCCGCAAGCTCAAGTCCATGTCAACGAAGGGCGAGACGGTTCACCAGCAACTCTTAATGTGATATTGCCTGTGATGATAGGAATTCTAATTTACCTAGAATATGATCTGAAGTATCCCGTTTAAAACGTTATGATGAAACCTCTTTGTACATACGTGTGTGTGTGTCTGCAATCCAGTGAAAAGTGCACGAGGTTTAAACTGAGCGTGCAGCAAATATCAACTATTCGCTGTGCCATGAGTTCGGCAGGCGGGCATCTCTCGTGTCTAGATTGCAGAAGTCGTTGCAGACAACTTTGCCAAATTCGCTTTTGTTCGAACGGGGAGAACACGTGGGCCTTGGCAATTTTTGTTCCAATTTGTTGGCAATGGAGACCATTGGCACATTTTCATCAAATAAATGAACGATCACTTGCAGCCCAACTTGTCAATCGGCTGCTGGTTGAGGGCCTCCACACACCATGTCGGTTGTTGAAGGGGCGGGGGGGGGGGGTTAACCATACTTCACCACGCTGGTCATTGCGGGTTGGGAGGCGGTGGCCCCAGTACCAGTTCAAATATCACTCGCTACTGACGCGAGCCGTGGCTAGAGACTGAGCTCAGGCAGCCGGATTCGTAATGAACGTAAGCAAATCAATACACCACACCACTCCACTAATGGGTTCTTGACCAACTTTCCTGTATTTTTTTTACCACATCTTATCATTAAACAGGCGTTGGTGCGACGCAATATTCGTTGCGGTGAAATGCCAGCTCAGATCTTCTTACAGCGTAAAAAAAAAAAAACTTGATCCGAGTTGCCACTTTTACTGCAGTTTGGTAAAAAAAAAAGAGACTAGCCAAACACGTGAATGGGTCACCCCCCCCCTCGCCTCACCTTTACACGCAGACACGTTGACGACCAGTGCGGGAGAATGCGCGCCCCTGCGACAATGCAAACCGGCTACAATTTGGCTGTAGTGAGGTCACGTGGGTTGTAAAAGGCTGTTGTGGAGGGTTTGTTACTGCTGAGAAAATAGCGACACGTTTTTCTTCCTCGGGTAAAATTCAACAAAGATGTAACTGGATAACAAATAAAAAAAAATCCTCTAAAAATTAAAGGATAATACATCCTTTATCAATTCTGACTCTAGCGGGTTTCTTTATCAGCAGTATCTGGGATTCGTTTTTATTATTTGTACACAATTGAGTAGGGCAAAGAAGGCCGCAGTTTGTCCCTTTAAAGAAAACAGGCCTCTGGGCCTATTTCAACACGGATTTAATGAATCAACGGATTATCATAGGTTACAATAGCTTAATAAAACACTCTACAATACGTAAGAAACAAATTGTATGCAGTCGTGATGTTCAACAGAAACTTTTACAACACGTTCAAGTTGCTACCACAATGCAACGTTGAAGTACAGCTTTGTAATGCAGAAGTGTCACAACGGACTTGGTTCACGTGGCAGTAATAATTGGGTGAGTGTGAAACCCATATATATATCGGGTGGAAACCAAAACAATCAAAAGGAAAATTGTGGGTCACCTTCAATACTCTTTGGGTCTTTCGGTAAAGTCACGTGACTTTACCGCAAGACCCAAACAGTATGAAGACCTACAGTCACGAAAGCTTTAAATCACCTTCAATACTTTTCAAAAAAACAAAAAAACACGTCTTTGGAAACGTAACGCAATGTGCAGTAACAACAAAACGAGATACATCCAAATTAAGGGAAACACTGAACAATTCACTTTCCAAGGCATATTTACAAACGGTCAACATTGATTTAAATTTGAATGTATTTTAATGCACTTATTGCTATTTATATGTTTCATACATGCCGAACCTTAGCTGGAGCGCCAATGAAAAAGCACTCCGCGTGACATAGCCATAAAACACCCGGCGACAACTTAATATAATTTCTCCAAATGTTAAGATCACCTTCTCACCGCTAAAAATATCCATTACTGCTGCCCATGGCAGTGTGTGGTGTAGCCTTGTGAAACTGGGTTGCCAACTGGACGAAAACAAAGCCTTTCAATAGAACCAGGACTTTTCGATGCAACAAACTACAATGCCATCAACGACAGCGACCGAGAGGAATCGCCAACTCAGCCACTGTGGCTTTCGGGAGCAGCGTCGCCGTCCCAGTGGAAACTCTGCCTGTGGCTCCAGAGGCGGAAGTTTGTGCGGAAGGACTTGTTGCAGTCGTGGCACTGGAACGCCTTCACCTCGCAGAACAGCTCCTGATGACGCTCCAACTGCTGGAAGAGGCTGAACACGACGCCGCACTTGGTGCACGTGTGCGGGAAGTCCACGCCCTGCGCCGCCGCCGCCGCCACGGCGCTGGGCTCTAGGTGTGGAGAGCTCTCCACGTCGGCGGCGGTCACGAGCGGAGCTGCTCTCCGATCCGCTCTAGCCGCCCGCGCCTTCAGCTGTCTCGCTTGGGCCGCACTGTCCCTCCTCAATCGCGGCGGCGGCGACACAGGATGCACAAGCCGGGGCTTGCGGCAGCTGGCGTGCGCCGCCTCTTCCTCCTCGCTGCCCAGCTCGTGAACCATCTTGGGCTGCGGCTTCGTCTTATCCTCACCGATATCAGCGCCGCTCTCAACTGCGGGGCTCTCCGACTCTGGGCTGGCGGAGCTCGGGATCGCGCCCTCCGCTTGAGATTCCTGGAAGTCGTCATTGTGGTCATCGCCGCCACCGCCGTCATCGTCGCCGTCACCTTTGTGAGTGTTTACCTCGACAGTCACGAAATTAGTGTCCGCGTCTTGACACTCCACTTTTTCCTCTTCTGCGGAAAGCATCTCATTTGTTTTGGGGTCATGCTTTAGCGCTGGGCCCAGCACTATCAGGATTTCTGAAACCGCCTTGGCCTCTTTGTCGCTGTCAGTCTCCACTGGAATGTCGCTCTGAAGCGAGCCGGCCGCTGCAGCGTCAGAGAGGGACAGCAGAGAGTAGGCCGACGGTTCGGCCGCAGAGGCCGATGCTAGATAGATGGCAGGCAGCGGTGACGAGTGAGCGACGATTTCCTCGGACTTGTCCGCGTCTGACACCGCGTCCGACACAGCGTCCGACACAGCGTCCGACACAGCGTCCGACACCCCGTCCGACACCCCGTCCGACACCCCGTCCGACACCGCGTCCGACACCGCTTCCGACACCGCTTCCGACACCGCCTCAGCGGCGCCAGCGGATTCCTCTCGCTCGGCGGCGGCCTCGGCGGGGGATAAAGGCTGGGCAGCAGGGCTCTCGGGGAGGAAGGCGAATGTCTCCGAGTCGTGGTGCACCTCCAGGCGGTGGCGCCACAGGCTGAAGGCCGTGCGGAAGGTGCGTCCGCACGCTCTGCACATGAGGCGCTGCTGCCCACACATCACTTCATGCTCCTTCCGCTCGTCGGCCGACCACAGCACCAGATCGCACAGCCGGCACGGCACCGGCTCTTTGTCGCCCTGCTCGGCCGCGGAATCCTCACCCGTTGTTTTCGTACGGGGTGTTAGACTGGGCGCGCCAGGGCTTCCCGCTAGCCCGAAACGAGGACCCCTCCTCCCCACGTACTTCCTAACCCCGGGCGTAGCGAGGGCGGCGTCCGGCGACGTGGGCGAGGTGTCCAGCTCGGCCAGCAGCTCGAGCCGGTGCCTGCGTTGGTGCATGCGGAGGTTGCCCTCCCTGCGGAACGACTTGGGGCACACGGAGCATACGTACGGCCTCTCCAGCATGTGAGTCTTGGTGTGCTCCCGGAAGCGGCAGTAGAAGGGGAAGCTCTTGCCGCATTCCCTACATATGTAGCCGCAGCCCTTGCCAGCGGTTTTCACCTTTTGGCCATCTTGGGCGCTCAGGTTGGCCTCTTGCGACTCTGCCGGGGGCTCCTCTTTCTCATGATCGTCCTCGTCATCTTCTTCTGTGTTGTTCTGCTCAGAATCCTCGCCAAATTGGGCAAGTTTTTTCACGAGAAGCCTCTGCTCCAATTTCCCACCTGCAGCTTCGTCGCCCCACGAAATGTTTTTGCGTTTCCGTGGAACCTTTTTCTGACTTTCCTCCGAGACAGCATCTGTCTGCGTTTCACTGTCAATGCCAGTGACTGATTCTTGGTCTTGACATCCTTTGTCTCCATCACCAGATTTGGGGTCAGTCGACTTTTCCGGACTCAACTTAACAATGGATTTCTTGGCTTGAGAAATGTCCACTTCTGCAGAATCTCCTTCAACATTTGGGCTGCTCTTTTGGTTTCCATTAATTTCTCCACCGTCGTCAATGTGGAACTCGATGTCATTGACTTTATTCAATGTCGCGTTTCTCTCCCCACTGACCAGAAGGGTCTGCCCATCACTGCTCATTTTCAACGCATCATCATCTTTGTCCCCCTCCACTGCTTGGCTCCCATCATACGACAACGTCTCCTCCTGAGCAGCTTCCAAGACGTGGTCCTGTGTAACAGCTTTGATTTCATCTTCAATGCCTTCGACAGTTGTTTCAACGTTCTCCATCGCATGCTCCACATCGTCCTCGTCAGGTTTAACATCAGCAGGCTCTGTCTGCAGTAACTGTTCACTGCTAGAGATTTCTTCATTCGTGACATCCGCTTTCTCCGCATCTGCCAGAAGACCGTCAGACTCTAAAGCATCGTTCTGGCTCCTGGCAGCGCTTCTATTCCCCCGTTCAGCCCTGGCACGCCTTCCCAACCCCAGCGGCGCGCGACCCTCCTCCACCCCGTCGGCGCCTCCGTCCCCGAGGCGGTCGCCGGCATGAGGCTCCGCCTGTCCATCCAGCGCCCCGCTCACGAAGGACGGAATCACGAGGAAGACGCGGGAGGTGGCGTCTTCCGAGGACTCCTCCAGACCGGCGCCCAGCGACGCGGCGTGCTGTGTGCGCCGGTGCGTCCAGGCCTTGTAGCTCGTGAGGAAGCGCTTGCCGCACACGGCGCAGGGGTATGGCCGGTTGGCGCTGTGGTAGACATCGCCGTGGCGTTTCAGAGCCCGCACCGTGCGGAACACCTGGCCGCACTCGTCGCACCAGATTTTTGAGGTGTTCTTGACGCGGAGCTTTTCCAGCGACCACTTTTGCGCGGTGTCGCAGTCGGCGGCGGGGGGCCCCTCCTCCGCGAGTCGGCCCAGCACCAAGCTCGTGCGAAAGCTTTTCAAGCTGGGGCTCCCATCGTCAGCTACATTGCAGGGTCTCTTGTTGGAAACGCCGCGCTTAAGGCCCGGGCCAGACGCCGCTCTGCTACCCTTGTGGCTACCAGTACCCTGCATAGCCCCCGCCGACGAGGAGCCCTGCAGTGATCTCTCTACCTTGGCCTGCATGGAAAAAAGACGATCGGGGCTGCAGGCTTTGTCTTGTTTCTCCACGTCCTGCTGCAGTTTTCTAATCGTCGCCTCCAGTGGGGTGGTCCGTTTTGCTACCGTCGGTCTCACGGGGGCTTCCAGCGGCAGCGAGTCCTGCTCGCACCGGGTTCCATTCTTGACGCTTTCGCCAGGATCTGCATCGGGACGGACGTCGCCACTTTTGCCTTCGTGGCAGACGGCCGTGATAGAAATGCTGACGAGGGTATCCAGAGCCTCGCAGCCACCGTGTTCCCGAGACTTCGCCGCAAGCTCCGGGGTCTCCAGCGCGGAGTTCTCGGAGAAGTCGGCACTTAACTCTCGTTGATCTGGAGCACCTCCGACTGTCCCCTGTTCTTCTTCGCTCGCCTCAATCCTTTCTGGCTCGTTCACTCTCACACCTCCACCGCCGGCCTCTTCCCCCTCACAGCAGGCTTCTTCAACGTGGGCGCGCAGGTGACACACCGACTGCACTGCGCCCAGGCCATTGTCCACAGGGGAAACTACTCCGACGATCGCAGGAACGTCATCCTCATCCGAGTGAGTCCCATCGTCCGCCTGCCCTTCGCCAGTCGCGCCGTCTGCTTGCCCTTCGCTCACCTCTCCCTGTCCCACCGCCTCACCCAGGGGATTGTCGCTCACCGGCACGCCCTCGGTGCTCACGTCGCCGCCGCCGCCGCTTCCGCTCTCGCGCGCCGCGTGCTGTGCAGGCCGCCCGCTTGGCAGCGCGGCCAAGAAGGGCACACCCAGCGCTCGGCCCAGCGCCCGCACAGCGCGCGCTCGCGCCGCGTCCACGCGCACGCTCGCCGTGTACAGGAAGGACAGCACCAGCTCAAAGGTGCCAGGTTCCACGCCGGCGATCTCCACGTTGTACACGGCCGAGGAGGTGCCGGCGCTGCCGCCTGCGAGAGAGAGGCGCTCCTCCCCGGGCGCCGACCCGCACGGCAACGCCGAGAACAGGCGGCGGAAGTAGACGCTGCCCGCGGCCAGCACGGTGCGGTGAGCACGGAACTTGCGTTCGCCCGCAATGAGCGTCACGTCGCATAGCGAGAGCGCGGGGCGCGCCTCCCGGTCTGCATCCAGGAAGCGCAGCAAGGCCCTAGCGTAGGTCTCGTCCGTCGCGCACAGCATCGACTCGGCCATGATGATACTGGATGCCCAGTTCACGGTGCCGCAGCGTGAGAGTGGGGGATGTCGTGTCCCGTGCCGCCAGAGATTCAATTCACCTTGAATGTCCCCCTGCACACACACACACAAGGGAGAGCACAGTTGGAAATTAAGACCTGCACACAGTAGTAGAGCTTAACAAAGCACATTCTACAGAGCGATGCTTCAATCCATCAGGGAGTCGTTCCTGTCAAGAGCATTGCGAGTCATCTTTGTGGTTGTTGAGCGCTATGTTGCCCATGGCTGTGGTTGTTTAAAAGCTTACTTCAAACGATTTAATAAAGTTATAACATTGTGTACTACTCTTTCAATACTGTTACCCTTTCTAACATGGTTAACATTTATAATGATAGAATAAACTATAAGGTGAACCACTAAATTCTGGGTTAACGTCACAAAGGTGTACACCTGAAGTACACCTGAAGACGGAAGCTTGTGTTGCCTCTGAAACGTCGTGATTTTTATTTTATTTTAATTTTATTAATTTTGATTTTTTTACCTACATGACTTTACCGAAAAACCTAAGAATATGTGTACACCACCCACATCGGGCATGCAGTTTACTCCTTCCCCCACCCCCGAGTCCCTGAGAATCATAAGCGGAGCTTCTGCCACAAGAGCAGCTCTTCATGGAAATTGGCGCCAAAATCCGACTGCAGCCGGACTGGCTGGTGAAGCGGGAGCAACGACGTAACAACGTGTCGTTACCACTTGGCTGTGAAATTCGCTTTTCTCGCTGCGATTCTTTTCGCAGAGTACACAGATAGTTTCCTGCTTAGATTAACACGATTTTTTTCTGGCTTCCACACAACGGGTTTGGCACCTGTAATCACACGTACAGTTCAACAAACTTGTTGAGTTCTGCAGATCATTCGCCCTCTTATGCTGCCTTCAAACGGTACTCAATTTGCACGGTAGTTGCACTCAAGTGAAAAGCAGAACTAAGAGGCGGTGTTCAGAACTCCACCAGCAGCAATTGCGGCATCCCTTCTTCCCATCGCTTTTGTGCAAAAAACTCTCCCCTGCGCACACATTGAGACCCAAACTGAAGAGAGTGTGACACTATGAGGTGCCAGTGCAAGACAAAGAACCAGGCATTCAAAACCCATCACATGGCTAATTCCATGACAGCCTGACGGACCAGGCTCTATTCTATTAAACCAGGTGGCAGTCCATTTCAGTCTGTGGTCCAAACAAAGCGTTAGTTGCTACCAAGTGAGGTGAGAAAACGTTAGTGGTGGCCAATAAGGGGATTGGTATAGCCCACAGATTACTGGCTTCCATCGTCCGCGAAGCTTAGGGGCAACCCTTAACCGCAAACCACGGCAGATGTGAATACTTGACGTGCAAATGGAAAATGTAAAAACGCTCCGGTGTGCGACTGTGGTCACCCAGAACAGATTGGAACATATAACCCGATTCAGGAATAAGAAGGAAGCATCACAGCGATTCACCACTTGACTACTCCTGACGGAATTGTCTGGCTCAACCACCTCAATGTAAAAATCAGTTTCATCGGCCACACGCAGATGCAGAGAACTCTGCATCACGACAGCCTCAGGTCTTACCAACACAAAGAACATCAGCTCTTGAGCTCATGTGCCATGCAAGGCGGTAATGATGTGTGGGTTGCTCGGTCAATGGCCAGGGTCAACGGCGGCGTGGTGTATTCCGCAAATATGGCCGACTGTGAGGGCGGATATGCCACTAAGTTGAGCTATCATTTGTGGTCAGGTCGCTCCTGAAAAATAGCTGTATTGATCGGTCGGGTATTACCTGGTATTAAACATGGCAATGTGAGATACAGGACTACGTATGTATAACTTATTTCATATTGTACGTAGCCAACCGTGTTATGCATTCTAGATTTGAAGCTTTCGTGACTGCAAGGATTCATACTCTTAGGGTTTTTCGGTAAAGTCACGTAGGAAAAAAATAAATAATAAAAATAATAAAAATTAATCTATTATTTTTTACATTTATTATTTCTATTATTTATTTCTATTATTTATTTCTATTATTTTCTTTTTTACCTACGTGTTATGCATGTAGAACTTCTTTCGCGCCGTACGTAACCAACCGTGTTATGCATTCTAGATTTGAAGCTTTCGTGACTGCAAGGATTCATACTCTTAGGTTTTTCGGGAAAGTCACGTAGGAAAAAAAGAAATAATAAAAATGTATCTATTATTTTTTAAATTTATTATTTCTATTTTTTTATTTTTTTATTTTTTACCTACGTGTTATGCATGTTGACCTTCTTTCGCGCCGTACGTAGCCAAACGTGCCAACCGGGAGGCGCGGGCGGGTGGCAATGGCAACCAAGTGGACAACACAAAAAGGAGCAGCTCTGGAGCGAACCGATAGGAGCTTGCGCCGTACAAATGCCGGCCCGTGTGAGGACGCAACTCTCTTTGAGCAAACTTCGCGGATGCCCGAGCGGAGCCACGACAAAAGTGTCGCGTTGCGGCCAAGACCACAACAAGTGCCGTGGAGGCGGCGACGGCGGCGTCTCTTACACTTCCCGTTCGAGCCTTTTAACAATGCGAAGAGACTGGGGGGGGAAGGGAAAATCGTCACCATTGACGTCAATCGCCAGTGACGTCACCGCGCACGCGCGCCGCTCCCCAAAAAAATTACAAAATGCAACGCGATGACGTCATCGCGGCTTGGACCGCCAACGGCTTCCCGCGCGACGCGATGACGTCAGAGCGCGACGGTACAACGCGATGACGTCACCGCGCCGTGATGACGTTGGGCGCAACGATACGACGCGATGACGTCAACGCGCCGTGATGACGTTGGGCGCAACGATACGACGCGATGACGTCACCGCGCCGTGATGACGTCGGGCGCAACGATACGACGCGATGACGTCAACGCGCCGTGATGACGTTGGGCGCAACAATACAACGCGATGACGTCACCGCGCCGTGATGACGTCAAGCGCAACGGCACGACGCGATGACGTCATCGCGCCCGACACAATTGAAAGCGCCGCTTTTAACGGCCCTCAAAATGGGGCGGCAGAGCGCGATGACGTCGTCGCCTCGCAATGTGCTCGACGCGATTACGTCACCGCCGCCAGCCAATGGCGAGGGCGGCCCGTGACGCCGTGCCATTACGTCACCCCGCGGAAAAAAAAAAGGACAACGCAAGTTCTCTACGGACAAAAACACGCAAAAAAAGCAGAAAAAAAGGCGCTTAAGTTTAAAATCTCCCGCCGTTTTTGCGCCGAGATGTACCCCGAGCCGAGAGCTGCGACGTGCCCCCGTTCCCCGCGCGTTCACCTGGCGAGGCGCGGACGGTTCCCCTCACGCAGCGCTGCCTTTCCGCCTGGGCGGGAAAGAGCGCGCTCCGCCGTCAGCAAGACACACCGACCATGTTGAGATGACGTCATGCGCTGCGCCGGATGAGGTAATGCGCGCGCGGTGGGGGGGGGGCGTGGTCAAGTGTGGGTGGTTGGGGCGGGGGGCGTGGTCAAAGAGGTGGGGGCTCGCTAGAATGGGCGTGGCCAAGCGCGGGGGGGTAACGGTGGGCGTGGTCATAGCGTGTGGGGGGAGGGGCTTGCGTGGTGTATGGGGCGGGGGAGTGGTCAAAGAGGTGGGGGCTCGCTCGAATGGGCGTGGCCAAGCGTGGGGGGAGGTGGGGGGGGTAACGATGGGCGTGGCCATAGCGCGTGGGGGGAGGGGCTTGCGTGGTGTATGGGGCGGGGGGCGTGGCCATAGCGCGTGGGGGGAGGGGCTTGCGTGGGCGTTGTGTATGGGGCGTCGCCTCGCGCGCTGCGAACGTTGGGATTTAAAATAAAACATCAAAATCGTTTTTATTTTTATTTTAATGTTTTACTTACGTGACTTAACCGAAAAAAACCCTAAGAATATGAATGTTTGCAGTCACGAAAGCTTCAAATCTAGAATTAAAGTCATGGTCACAGTCACCATAGGCGGCATGGAATGCGGGCACCGTTAGAGCCGAGAGAGATTCATTTTAAACTTAAACTTCTTTTTCGATTTAAAGCTTTCGTGACTGCAGGGATTCATCTTCTTGGTTCTTTCGGTAAAGTCACGTAGAAGGGAAGTAATACAATAATAAAAATAAAACATAATAAAACGTCGTGAGAATTATTTTATTATGTTTTATTTTTATTATTTTATTACTTCCCTTCTACGTGACTTTACCGAAAGAACCAAGAAGATTAAACTTATTTTGTTTTGTAAAAACGTGGCCACCGCCTCCACCTTGACTGCTGTTGGGCTCGCGAGTGCGTGTCGGAGGTGGCTGTGGGACATCTGCATACCCATCACATCCCACACGCTTCACCCCGTATTCTTGTACGGGGGAAATTGAATTTTCAGGTCCATACATTTGTACAGCCGTTTCAGTACGGGGCAGAAAATAATGTTTATTAGTTTGTGTTTCTCCCTTGTGATGTGAGTTTATAGGATGAATGTTGAGATTTAGAAGGCGACGGGGTGACCAATAGGGCCTGCATTGGTCTGTGATAAAGTAGGGTACTGATAAGGGATTGACAGGTTTGCTTTTCTACACTACACTATACACTACACTATACACTACACTATACACTACACGACTACTTACCCGTCACAACCCACACGCTTCACCACGAATTCTTGTACGGTGGAAATTGAATTTTCAGGTCCATACATTGTACAGCCGTTTCGGTACGGGGCAAAAAATAATGTGTTTGTTAGTTTGTGTTTCTCCCTTGTGATGGGAGTTTGTAGGATGAATGTTGAGATTTATAACGGGCACAGGGTGACCGCTAAGGTCTGAATTGGTTTGTAATAAAGTAGGGCACTGATAAGGGGTTGATAGCTTTGCATCTGTGAATTAGCTGTATAGCTCTTCGGATTCCTCCAGTAAAAAAATTAACATGAATTGAACATAATATGATTTGAACATAATACGATTGGAACATAACACGATTGGAACATAATATGATTTGAACATAATGTGATTTGCGGTAGGGCGTGGACTACAAGGGAGTGATTCACCATCCCAAGGTGGACCAAACCCTTGATGCACTGCCCTCTAATGACAGCATAGGCTGCGCCACAGCCTATAACATCTGGTGTACACGGCACCTTATTTGTTAAGGAACACCGTCTCGTATATCCGTAGATCCGATGAGCACGGTTTTGGATACGTACTGTGTGCGAAAGGAAATCAACATATTTTTTATTTGAAGCTTTCGTGACTGCAGGAATCCATACTCTTTGGTTCTTTCGGTAAAGTCACGTAGGTGACTTTATACCTAGTGAACATACACGCAGATAAACTCACACAGAGACCCATAGACTCACACACAGACCCATAGACTCACAAAGAGACCCACAGACTCACACACAGACCCACAGACTCACACACCGACCCATAGACTCACACACAGACCCATAGACTCACACACCGACCCATAGACTCACACACAGACCCATAGACTCACACACAGACCCACAGACTCACACACAGACCCACAGACTCACACACCGACCCATAGACTCACACACAGACCCATAGACTCACACACAGACCCACAGACTCGAACACAGACCCGTACTCACACACATACCCATAGACTCAGACCCATACTCAGACCCATATTCACAGACCCATAGACTCACAGAAAGACCCATAGACTCACAGAGAGACCCATAGACTCACACACAGACCCATAGATTCGCACATAAACCCATACTCACACAGAGACCTATAGTCTGTTGTCCTGCCATAACTCCGATTAGCGCGGTTGGCTACGTACGGTGCGAAGGAAATTAAAAGTACATATATATACGTTTTCGCATTCATTGTGGCTCTTAAAATATTTTTTTTACCTAATTCTAATCAAAATTACTCTGTTATTTTGGTTAGCCCCTGCCCTGGCAAGCAGTTCCCATCACGGTACACATCGTTTCTTGTAAAGGGATGGCTGGGCCCCTTCTCAATGCACGTAAAAAAAACCCACCACGTGGCGTGACCTCATTCCAATTACGGCTGTTTCAGAGCGGGTGGAAGAAAAACACCACCGTCATGTGCTTTAAACAAAAAACAAAATCTGCACGAGTGTTTTTTTTATTCTTTATATTAAGTTCGCTTGCTTGCGTGCTTGCTTGCTTACGACCGTGCAAATCTTTCGGTCGTTTTTAACCCACTTCCCGTGATCCAATCGAGCTGACATTTTCCACACAGACTTGTGCGTGACAATTAATTTTGGTGAAAATTTTTTTCCAAAATTTTACACTTTTTAGGGAAATTTTTTTTAAATTACCAATTGCTTAATGCTGGCAGACAATCATCTGACCCATAGGTGGCAGCCATCTCAAGCCAGAGGACGAGAGGACTCTAGCCGCCACGCATATAAAGGATTTAGAGTGAAAAACTTTGTTTTTACGGGTTAATTTTTTACGTTTCAAGTGAAACTTTATTCAACTCCACCAACAACAAACAACCCACGCAGAGCCACAGTGCAAGCTGGCATTGCGTGAACTTTCACGTACACACGTGTAGCACTGCACATTCATTCAATTGTGATATCTTGTACTAGAAAAAGGGTGAGGTTATGGACAGGGTGGTCAATGTGTTGTGACCCCCCCCCCCCAAATTAGTGCAAGCTATCATTCCATGAATTGTGAACATTAGTGTACACACGTGTAACACTGTACATTCATTCAATTCTGATATCTTGTACTAGAAAAAGGGTGAGGTTATGGACAGGGTGGTCCAGATGTCTTGTGACCCCCCCCCCCTCCAAATTAGTGCAAGCTACCATTGCATGAATTGTGAACATTAACGTACACACGTGTAACACTGTACATTCATTCAAATGTGATGCTATTTTCTGTACTATGGGGAGGTACTGGAAAGGGTGGTCCAGATGTCTTGTGACCCCCCCCCCCCAATTAGTGCAAGAAGCTATCATTTCATGAATTGTGAACATTAAGTAGACACGTGTAACACTGTACATTCATCCAAATTTGATCTTGTACTAGGGGGTGGAGGTACTGGACAGGTTGGTCCAGATGTCTTGTGACCCCCCCCCCCCCCCCCCAAATTATTGCAAGCTATATTTTCATGCTATTATTGCATGAATTGTGAACATTAGTGTACACACGTGTTACACTGTACATTCATCCAAATTTGATTTTGTACTGGGGGTGGAGATACTGGACAGAGTGTTCCAGATGTCTTGTGACCCCCCCCCCCCCCAATTAGTACAAGAAGCTATCATTTGAACCTTATGGCGGGACCCCGTGGCTCCGAATAAACGGCAGTCAAAATCGTAATTAATGAATGTTTTTTTGGCGACTCCGTCCCACCGCGCACATAAAACGTCGCGACCCACGTGGCGCTGATCATTCTGTTGTCACGTCGTGTCCAAGCGCAGCAGCAGCAGCAGCAGCAAGGACGAATTACGCAGAAGAGCTGAACAAGCGAATGCACTCCACACGCTCAGGTATGGGCAGGATCATCATAAGTCTCATCCAAAGCTGCTCAAACTTCCTGCACAACTTAAGTAATTTATTTGTCATCACGGTTTGCGTAATACAGCGAAACTGCTATACTCGTTGGGTTTTTTCGGTAAAGTCACGTTGGTAAAAAATAAAAAAAATTAAATCTTCAGGTAACCTGAAGAAGGACGCTTGTGTTGCGCCCGAAACGTCGTGATTTAATTAATTTGTTTTACCGACGTGACTTTACCTAAAAAACCAACGAGTATGAATCCTTGCAGTCACGAAGACTTCTAATCTAGAATAAAGTGAAACTGCTCTCTTATCTTCATTATTATTTGTGACCTACCAATGTCTGCAGCCAGGAGCGATCAATGACAATCCGATTACCTGCAGATATTTAACAGATGAGATGCGTTGCACCGTTTATTCCTCCTGTTTGATAATACTTCTCTTTCTAGATTTAAAGCTTTCGTGACTGCAGGGATTCATATTCTTGGTTCTTTCGGTAAAGTTCACGTAGAAGGGAAATAATAAAATAATGAAAATTAAACATAAAATTCTCACGACGTTTCGGCCACAACGCAAGCAGCCGTGCTCAGGTGAAGAAACAGAGCTGTAGGAAAGACAGCGTCTTATTTCCCTTCTACGTTACTTTACCGAAAGAACCAAGAATATGAATACTTCTCTTGTCCGTACGCATCTGTGCAGATAGGTTTTTGTTGTTGCGGTTAAGCCATCGTCCCCACATACCGCTCATATCAATGCAGGTAATAGGAGCGGCCACCCACTACTCTGTAGAGTAACTTTGGTATAAACGCTTGTGACAATATGAACAGCGCATTGAAAACGCGTACTATTTCATGTACCGTTTACAAAGTGTGTTCACAATTCCACACACTGAGAAACACGATGATTGACAGAGGGGTGTAAATTATTTTTTCGATTGTGTATTTAGAGGTACTGCAAGCTAAGTAGTTTTCAGTTTTAAAGGCATCGTTTAACAAGACAACACTTGCCACCATCTTTCAAACCCATTGGTGAAAAAGAGAAAAGTTTTTGTTTATATTATAATATGTTTACATTGTAAATGTAATGTTTACATTGTAATGTAATGTTCACATTATAATGTAATGTTTACATAATGTAATGTTTACATTATACTATGTTTACATTGTAATGTAGTGTTTACATTGTAATGTAATGTTTACATTATAATGTAATATTTACATTATAATGTAATATTTACATTATAATGTAATGTTTACATTATAATGTAATGTTGACATTATAATGTAATGTTTACATAATGTAATGTTTACATTATAACGCAAACAGCCGTCCTCAGGTAATGTAATGTTTACATTATAATGTAATGTTTACATTGTAATGTAATGTTTACATTATAATATAATGTTCACGTTATAATGTAATGTTTATGCGAGAGCCGGGGGCTTATGGGACCCCGGGGTCCAACCATAAGATTCATTTCATGAATTGTTAACTTTAATGTACACACGTGTAACAACACTGCACATTCATTCAAATGTGATACATTGAACTCAGGTGGGAGGTGATATTGGACAGAGTGGTCCGGATGTCTTGTGACCCCCAATTAGTGCAAGCTGTCATTGCGTGAATTGTCAACATTAATGTACACACGTGTAACACTGTCAATTCATTCAAATTTGATAGCTTGTACTATGAAGGGGGGGGGGGGGGGGGTACTGGACAGAGTGGTCCAGCATGATGGACAATGTCAGTGTGGAAACACAGCCGTGGACTTTTCAACCCACTCCATCGTAACCACTCTCTGCCCACTATTCGTGTGCTATGAAGGGCCATTTCCCGAAGACACCTCTTATATATTTTACCTTTTAAGGCCGCACAAAGTGTTATGGATGAACGTGTTGGGTTGTTTTTAAATCCTTTATATTAAGTTCACTTGCTTGCGCGCTTACGACCGTGCAAATCTTTCGGTCGTTTTTTTACCCACTTCCCGTGATCCAATCAAGCTGACATTTTGCACACAGACTCGTTGTGCGTGACAATTAATCTTCGTAAAAAAAATTTTGTTGACCAGTGTATTAGGAAAACACTAGGAGTTATGGACTTTTAAAAATACAGTAAAACCTTGGCTTGCGAGTAACTTGGTCTGCGAGTGTTTTGCAAGACGAGCAAATTTTTTAAATAAATATAAATTTGATAAACGAGTGAGGTCTTGCAATAAGAGTAGTACGTGTACACGCTTTGTCTGCCGAGCGTCACATGATCACAATTGATGTACGAGTGCTTTGGATGACAAACACGTTTCCAGAACGAATTATGCTCGCAACCCAAGGTTTTACTGTATGTTGAAAAAACTAATTTCTTTAGAACTGCTGTTTGTGTTTAGTTTGTCGTTGTTCCCCCGCACACCTCAAATTAGCAACAACAATAATTAGTTAACAAAAAATCTTAACACATTCGCCACTCTCTGGCCGATTCACGTGCTCTGAAAAAGTATAATTTCATCTAACATCACATATATTTACAGTATTTATATTCCTAAGGCTGTTTTTTTAATTTGTGCTTGTGCACCACAGCTAATGCAGTAATCGCCAAATAATCGACCAAAATGTATTAATATAGGTCAGCGACAATATACGAATTTGCAAGCAACTAAATAAGTACGTGTCAAATACAGGCAATATAAATGACTACACCGTGGATGAACAGTAACACCCCGGTTTAAGTCGGGGATGTGTTCCTGAAAGTTGCGACGGATAAGGAGACAGGACGGACGATGCTGTCAGCGATGTGAGTGTGGGCTTGAGGCGACGTAAATCAGGTGGCGGTGTTAATCAAGTGACGACGTATTTGCGACTTAAAATTGGGAAGACGTAAATCGGGGCATTACTGTGAACGTTAAGCCAATCGTACGGTGGAGATCTTGACACATCGCGACCTCGGGGAAGCCCAGGACAAATGCAGGTAATCGTCACTGGTGTTGGCCGTGAGTGGAAATCTCCGAGCTACGACGGCTGGACGCCGGCCGCCTCCCCCGCGTGCTTCTTCTGGTGGCGTACGAGGTGGTGCTTGACGCGGAACGGCGTCCCGCAGACGTGGCACGGGTAGGGCTTCTCGCCCGTGTGGATGCGGCGGTGCGTGCCGAGCTCCGAGGGCCGCGCGAACGCCTTGCCGCACTCGACGCAAGCGTAGGGCCTCTCGCCCGTGTGGCAGCGCCGGTGCATGACGAGCCAGGAGCGGCGCGCGAACCCGCGGGCGCACACCTCGCACGCGTACGGACGCTCGCCCGTGTGGCTGCGCGCGTGCGTCGCCAGGAAGCCGGCGCGAGCGAAGCTCTTGCCGCAGCGCTCGCACACGTAGGGGCGCTCGCCCGTGTGGCGGCGCCGGTGCAGCGTCAGGTTGGAGGAGTGGGCAAAGCGCCGGCCGCACTCCTCGCACACGTACGGACGCTCGCCCGTGTGGACGCGCCGGTGCGCCGCCAAGTGCGCCCGCTGCCCGAACGCCTTGCCGCACTCGGAGCAGGCGTACGGCCGCTCGCCGGCGTGCGCCAGCTTGTGCGCCTGCAGGTTGCAGCGCAGCGAGAACGTCTTTCCGCACTCGTCGCACATGAAGGGACGCTCGCCCGTGTGCGAGCGGCGGTGGCGGTTGAGCACGGAGGCCTGCGCGAAGGCCTTGCCGCACTGCTCGCACGCGAACGGACGCTCGCCGCTGTGCGTGCGCTCGTGCTTGCGCAGGTCGTGGCGCCGCGAGTAGCGCTTCCCGCAGACGCCGCACGCCAGTCCCGCCGAGACGCCTCTCTTGCGGCGGCCGGGCCTGTGAGAGGGCCTCTCCATCACGTCCGTCGCGCTGTCGACCTCGCGATCCTCGACGGCTGCCCCCCCCCCTCTCGGACGCGTCTCGCGCCGCTCCTCCTCCCCCTTCTCACCCTCCTCCCCTTTGTTATCCTCCTGCCGCTGCTCCTCGGTGGCACCCATGATGACGATCACCACGGCCGCGTCGTCCTTGCCTTGGCCCCACACGCTGGCGGCCGCCGCGTTGTGATACACGGACGCGTCCTCCTGCACGCCGCACGCGCTCGAGGCTTCTGTGACGAGCTCGTGTTGTCCGTGCTCCGCGTGCTGTTCGTGCTGTTCGTGCTGATCGTACTGCTCATGCTCCGTGTGCTGTATGTGCTGCTCCTGTTGCTCGTGTTCCATGTGCTGTCCGTGATGCTCCTGCTGATCGTACTGCTCATGCTCTGTGTGCTGTTCGTGCTGCTCCTGCTGCCCGTGCTCCGTGTGCTGCTCCTGCTGATCGTACTGCTGGTACTGCTCATCCTCCGTGACCTGTCCGTGCTGCTCCTGCTGCCCGTGCTCCGTGTGCTGCGTGTGCTGATCACGCTCAGCTGCGACCTCGGGGCAGGACTCCGCACCTGGTTCTGTCAGAGACGCCCCCCCTTCATCTGCGAGCGAGGGTCCAAAACGTACGCGAAAAATAAAGCCCTTACCAAAATGAGACGTAAGCACACACGCCTCTATGGTAAACAAATTATAAACTAAAAGCGTTTTTTTATTTTACCAGGTAAGGCCCACTGAGCTATAGATCTTTTTTTAGAAGCGACCTGGTCACAGATGATAGCTCAACCGAGTGGCTTATCATATGGAAATTTATAGCAACCAAATACTCTAAACGCTTGTTTCTAAATATGGAGGGAACATCCGGAAGACCCGGAGAAAAATCCACGCAACCAGAGTGAGAGAGACATGAAATCTACAAATACCTCGGAGATCGAACGCACCTGAACTTGAACAAATCGGTGTTCGAACGACATTTCTGAACATTTTTTGCCCAGGAAACCGAACGAAATTCGGAGGTCGAACGGGCAATCGCGACTTGAAAGAACCTGTACGGCTGAGATGCGTATGGGCAGCGTGCATGACGCTTGCCCAGACAAAGGCGACTCCCCTTCCAAACAATAACACCACCACCACCTCCTCCTCCTCACCACCTTCCACTCAAACCAACAACTCTCCTTACTACAGGTAAAGTGAAGTTCAATGTTCATTAATTTAATTTATTTATTCATGTATTCCATTTATTTATTGTTTCTTTTTTTATTATTTTATGCATGTAATTACTGTAAACTTCGTGTAAAAATGCTTTATAATGAGATATTTATTGTGTCTAGAACCAATTAATGTCATTTACATTAATTCTTATGGGGAAAATGTATTCGGTGTTCGAACAAATCGGTGTTCGAATGGCCTTCTGGAACGAATTAAGTTCGATCTCCGGAGTACCACTGTATACAGAAGGTGTCAGGTTCGGGATCGAACCCACGATCTCCTGCATACCAGGCCAGGTAGTTAACGTCTCTCCATCGTGGTGATGCTACTGCATTGGCCTAAGCGCAGTTAACAAACAAACAAAACAACTGCCATTCGTCAATAACACTGCCCTTAAAAGTCAAAATATTTAACAAGCGACGTTTTGGGTACTGATCCGTCTTCATAACCCATGAGTCGACCTAGGGGGAGGCCCATGTGCTATGAAGAAGGCCCGATGCCTGAAACGTTGCCTTTTTTGTACACATACAAAGATCCCCCCTGTAGACTTTACAGACTTCTGGGTCAAGTGCTGTTAGTGAGTACCTATGAAGGCCGGCACACGAGGAGGGTGGTGGCCACCACCACGCCCGGCCGCCTTTGTCTCCCCAACGTTGACGTTTTTACACAAACATACAATGACCACCACACAGACGCCACCGCACAATCTCACCTGGCTGTACTGGGGTCACAGAAGCAATATGAATAATCACTTGTGTGCATTCGTTTGCAGGGTCACAATCTTCGTCTGCAAAAAAAAAGGCACGAATTATGCCGTTATCAAAATAACATCTTGCGCTGAGCATTTTCCAAACAAGACGCTTTCTATGAGACCTCCTTTACCAGTGGCAAAATATAGTAGTCGGTTTTTACCCTTTAAACTGGTAAAGGAGGTCTCAGAGTGTAAATGCTTACCCCGAGCTCTCAATACTCTGATAGTGCGCTGTCTTTGAGTTGTGCGCCTTTTGGCGTCATCTAGTCCAACACCAATGGAGACTAGGCTCTAAGGAAAGCTGTCTCGGGTGTGGACCAATCAACTTCAAGGACAGTGCATATCATTATCAGAGTTGTTTCTTTTTGTTTGCATTTTGACTGCTTGTGTTGTGGTTATTGCAAACATGATGCCTTGTATAAAGGGGTCAGTTTTGTACCAGTTTAAAGGGTAAAAACCTACTACTATAATACGCTTTCTACCGCGCGTTTCTTGATCAATGTAGTTATCGGGATCAATTCGCTCGCGTCTTGAACCACCTATGGGCCAGTGAAATGTCTCTCAACCATGCAGGGTGCTAGCGCTGAATCCTATTCATCATCTGCCATGGTCTACCCTCTGCTGGACGAAGCCCTTCCCCAAGCCGTTGCCATCTCGCTCCGATTCAGATGTTCGCCGCTGATGTTGACTGTGAGCGGGAATAAAACTGGTGGCCAGGTTCGGGGAAGCGCAGTGCGCTAACCACGATACCACCGCTCCCCACTCGCCCTACGCAAACAACGATCGCCCGAAGAGCATTTAACAATGTTGGATTCAAGTCCTGCTCGAAGGCAACGATGAAGGCCGGCACAGTACACGAGGCACCGCGCCAAACGCCCTTCGTCTCCCCAGTGCTGTTTATGCACCGCCTTCAGATAGTTTTAAACAATTAAACTATTTTTTTTTATTTTACCAGCGATTAGCTAATTTTTCAGAAGCGACCTGGCCACAAATGATGGCTCAACCAAGTGGCTTACTGCGTGGAAATTTATAGCGGGCAAATACTGTAAACGCACTTTGATTCTAAATGTGGAGGGAAAAACCGGAGGACCCGGAGAAAAATCCACGTGACCACGGGGAGAGAGACACACAAACTAAAAATATACAACAGGTGTCAGGGTCGGGCTCGAACCCACGACCTCCTGTATACCAGGCGAGGTCGTCAAATGTCGCCACCACGGCGCCCAACAACGAGACGAGGCCTCGGACAGGTTCAGGATAAGCATCAAACGGTGTTGGCGGCCGTGACCGGGAATCGAAGTCGGGTCACCGTCCCCGTGCCCCCTCACCGTCGTAGCTGTCTCCACGGTCCAGCACCTCGCGAAGCACGCGGCTCAGGTCGGCCTCGTGCAGCTCGCTCGGCTCCACGGCGACGAACTTGATGGACGGTGGCGGCAGTGGTGGTGGCGGCGATAGCGGCGGCAGCGGCGCGTTAGTCGCTCCGGGTCCCAGGCCTGGGCAGCGAGCGTGGGGGATCGGGCGGATGCGTCAATTCAACCGACGGCATCAAGGGGACTGCACGAGCGGCTGTCGGTGGGTATTTTCGCGAGCAGGGATATCGAACCGAATCGTCGTCGCATGACTCTGTTCGTCGGAGCCCCGCGCCGGCTGCCAATGAAATCCCAGATCGACTCCAAATTTAGTACAGCAAAACCTTGGATTGCAAGTAACTTGGTCCGCGAGTGTTTTGCAAGACGAGCAAAATTTTAAAAGAAATTTTTACTTGATAAACGAGCGAGGTCTTGCAATACGAGTAGTACGTGTATACGTCTTCTTGGTTCTTTCGGTGAAGTCACGTAGAAGGGAAATAATAAAATAATAAAAATAAAACATAATAAAATAATTCTCACGACGTTTCGGCCACAACGCAAGCAGCCGTCCTCAGGTGAAGAACAGGTCTGTCGGAAAGACAGCGTCTGAATGAACACCGCCAGGCTTGGCAGCGTATATTTAAGCTGGGTTGGAAGGGGGAAGAGTGCCTTGACAAAGGAATTTGGATATAAAGAGGAATTTAGCATATTTATGGGAAATGCAGATATGGGATTAGTCACTACGTGTACACGCTTTGTCTGCAGAGCGTCACGTGATCACAACTGAGCCGATGGTTCTTCTCTCTCTCTCTCGCTGCAGGATTGTGGGTAATCGTCTTCCATGCTCAGTCTCAGTCAGCGTGCCTCACTCGTATAGTCAACATCCGTGCGAGCGTATACCGTTTACTATAGTACTGTATAGTGTTGTGACCACGTATGTGTGCGTAAAGCATTTTTTTATTTTGTGTCCAAGTGTAGTGACTGTTCTTTAGTAACTGTACCGTTTGCCTCCTCAAAAGGAGGCAAAAGCAAGTGTCATTGGATAGGTTCCTTGTTAAAGTCGCACAAGAAGAAAAAGATTCCAGTGAGCCAACAGACGGCAGTGATTCCGTTAGTGACGGTGAAAGTCGTCCTACACAATAACTCTCCTCCTCCTCTCTCTCGTCTCCCTCACACCAGCCACGATTACATTTAATGAATAAATTTGATTACTTTATATTAAATTTTAATAATAAAAATATAAAAAGGTATTTGGTATTAATCATTTTTTCTGAATATTTTTGGGTCGTGGAACGAATCATCCGAGTTTCCATGATTTCTTATGGGGAAATTCACTTTGATATACGAGTGCTTTGGATTACGAACAAGTTTCCGGAACGAATTATGCTCGCAATCGGCCTCGGTCGTCCTCGCAGCAGTAGCCGCGGCGGCTTTTAGCTGGTCGTCGAACGAAGACAGATCACCGCATCGAGCGCTATCAGGTGCGCTTCTGCGGCCGTCTGGAACACTCTTCTATTCGATGTTAGGAAGGCACTGGAGTTATGCACTTTAAAATCTAGATTTACAACTCATTTCTTTACGACTGCTTTTTGTGTTTAGGTTGTTGTCCTACCCCCGCATACTCCGATTAGCACTGTTGGCTACAATCTTGTTAAACTTTATAGATTGCTCTTCAACACACTGGTGGTGCTGCTAAGGCAGTAATAAAGTGACAGGTTTATTCAGGTGACTTGATTAATCGGCTGTGTTGGGTGGAGGAGGGTTTACAACACACATTTTACTTTTGTGATCCGACTCAAATTTTAGCTTTCCCATACATCTGTCTTTCCATATATCGCCACAACCGCCGCCACCACCTCCGCCAACGCAGCCTCTCGTGGCGAAGGCCTACAGACCGCGACTCACCCTGCATGACGCCCTGGCACGTGACAAGGTGGGAAGAGGTGGCCACCTCGACTGTCCACGGCGCCAGCACCTCCAGGCCGCACGAGAGGGGGGCCTCCTCCACTGCGGAGATGAGACAATCCCGGCAAGGATGAGACCCGACTAGCCATCGCCCGTGGCACGAAGGGTAACTCTTCAGCCATCGCCGAATCGATCGACCCTCATCACCTTACCATTAGTACGGTTGGCTACGTACGGTGCGAAAGAAGTTCTACATACAGCGAGGACGAAGTGAGCAGGGACCAACGTGAAAAGGACGTCATCCTTTTCACGTTGGTCTCTGCTCACTTCACACATCGCACTACGTTCCATTCACCAAAGGCCTGGGTCAACAGGTCAACAGGTCAATGTCATCGGTGCCACTGCAATTCGTCAGTTTCCTTCAAGCCGTTTTATCCGGCGGTTCTGTCCACGGTCGACACCTGACCTCCCTGGTTCATTCTTACAGATGCACCACCACAACCGCCACCACTTGAGGTCTTCCCTTCAGTCTGGGCAAACTGCCCTCCATCCTACACATATCGGCACCTTGCCTACTTATCCAATTACATTGACGACAATGAACAGAAACTTAAGATCTCTGCCCCCCCATAGCAACACCGGCACTATTCCTTTCTCAAACACCTGCCACGTAAACACTTAAGTTGACCTCTCTACTTGTCCTAAGTAAAAACTATTCAACTATTTGTATTTTACGAGGATCCGGAGAAAAATGCATGCGAGCACTGGGAGAGAGACACGCAAACTCCAAATATACAGTAGGCGTCAGGGTCAGGATCGAACCCACGACCTCCTATAGACCAGGTGAGCGAGTTAACATCTTGCCGCGGTGGCGATATGTTAAGTGGCTCGTGTAGCGTTTGCCACAGACAGATTAAACTCAACACTGGGGGAACAGGTCCGATAGTGGCGGTGATCAAAATAAAAGCACGGCGCGGCGGCCAGAGACCGACAGCCGCACAGGGGCGGGAGCGAGCGCCAGAGGTCGCAACCGGGTACCCGATACCCGTACCCTACCCTGGTGCGGCCGGGTACGGGTAGGCCGTGAGTCACTGGTGAGTAACCGTTTGTCACTCATATCCCAACGTCTTGTCTCCTCTCACAATTCAAGTTCCTAGAATCAACCCACCAGCGCCTGCAACATGGCTTCATCCCAGAGGTCGCAATCGGGTACCCGTACCCTACCCGATACCCGGCCGGGTATGGGTAGCCGGGTATCGGGTAGGGTACGGGTACCCATTTGCGACCCTGGTGCGGCCGGGTACGGGTATGGATAAGGAATCAAAACCCGTTTGCGACCTCTGGCGAGCGCGCGGCCTCCGCGGCCCACCCACCCTCGTCGGCGCAGGCCCCGTGCTGCCGCTGGTGGCGCGCCATCATCTGCTTGGTGCGGAAGGCCTTGCCGCACAGCTCGCACACGAAGGGCCGCTCGCCCGTGTGCACGCTGCGGTGCTGCGCGATGGCCCAGGCGCGCGAGAACCCGCGGCCGCACACCTCGCAGCGGAAGGGCCGCTCCCCGGTGTGGCAGGCGCGGTGCTGCGCCAGCCACGCGGCGCACGCGAAGCCGCGGCCGCAGCGCTCGCACGCGTACGGACGCTCGCCCGTGTGCGCGCGCCGGTGCACCGCCAGGTTGGCGGAGTGGGCGAACGCGCGTCCGCAACGCTCGCACACGAAGTCGCGGGCGCCCGCGTGCTTCCTGGCGTGCACGGCGAGGTAGCGCGCCTGCGCGAACGCCTTGCCGCACTCGGCGCAAGCGTGCGGCCGCTCGCCGGCGTGCACCAGCTTGTGCGCCTGCAGGTTGCAGCGCAGCGAGAACGTCTTTCCGCACTCGTCGCACATGAAGGGCCGCTCGCCCGTGTGCGAGCGGCGGTGGCGGTTGAGCACGGAGGCCTGCGCGAAGGCTTTGCCGCACTGCTCGCACGCGAACGGACGCTCGCCGCTGTGCGTGCGCTCGTGCTTGCGCAGGTCGTGGCGGCCGCTGAACATCTTGGCGCAGACGCCGCACGCCGCCGGCTTGGGGTCGAGGCGCGGGCGCCCGCGGGGGCGGGGGAGGCGCGGGGGCAGCGTCGGGCTGCCCTCCCCCGTCTCGTCGCTCGCGACGTCCGTCGGCGGGGTCGGCGTCTCCACTGTGACCGCTTCTCCCGCTTCACGGCTACTCCGCGTGCTCCTCCTCGTCCTCGGGGGCTCCCTCACCTCACCTGTGCGTCCCTCCGCCGCGTCTCTGCCTTCTGCACTCACGAGTGGACATGCGCGGTGGTCGAGTGACCCAATTCATAGAGCTCCTTAAAAAACAAAAAAAACAGACCTCTTAGCTTGGAGATGTCAAGCAGCCTGAATATTACCAAGCTCTCTGACGTCGTCACGATCACTAGAATGTCTAGACTGTCTGACACACGTTTCAAGCATTGTTAATAACAATGATGAAAAAAAGACTTTATAGTTACGATCAAGCCCACCATTCCAGGCGGCTGGGAATTAATCTCCTAAAGAAGCCGGCAGCACGTCGAGCGAAACTACGGACGTCGCTGTTGCAGCAACCCCCGCCCCCCCCCCCCCAGAGCAAAACGTTTCATCTCACCGCCTGTGCCATCGGGAGGCTGCGGTCCATCCCCAGCGACGCTCGCTCCCCGTCTGCGTCTCTGCGCCCCCCGTGGACTGTCCCAACCGGGGTCACGTTTCCCGCGACCCCCGCGCCCCCCGCACCCTGGGCCCCTCGCATCCCCGGCTCCCCCGGGCCGCTCAACGGCCACGTCGTCGTTCGTGGCGCCCAGCAGAGGCGACGCGGGAGACTCGAAGTCAGCGGCCGCCGCGAGGGCTCCCGTGTCTCGCCCTGCGTGCAGCCGATTAAGACACAGATCCCCCGTGTAGGCCTCGGCAAGGCAAGGTAAAAGTGTAAAAACAACGAGCCTACCTTTACCCTACCCTTTACCCTTACCACAATACAATCACTCTACCCTACCTTTTACCCTTTAGCAGGTAAGGTAAAAGGTAAAAAGCAACGAGCCTACCTTTTACCCTACCCTTTACCCTTACCCCTTGGCATGTCGACACCTTTACCTTTACCCTTTTACCCGGTAAAAAGGGTACAATTACCTTACCTTGCCGAGGCCTACCCCCGTGTAGGTTGCAGGGCGTGGGGGTCCCCGTTCACCGCCGAATCTCAGAACACGTTAATTTTATTTAGAGAGGCGTAACGCTGCTGCTTTTAACGACATTGCCCTCACCGCAGGGGACTGTAACGACACGAGCGCACTCTATGATAGCCGGCGCCAAACTGAACCAGACGCCCTCCCGCATGGCCTCTTCTGATTCCGTTTCGATGACGGAAAAGGTTGAACAGACCGTCAGGGCAAGTTCTCTTCTCCGTTAACTATTAATAGCGGCATGACACGCGAGGGGGTGGTGGGGTCACAGCACCATGCCTGGCCGCCTTCGTCTCCCCAATGCTAATGTTTACACACCGCACCAGGTGATTATTTAAGGCTGAGTAGACCTAGAGGAGGCCCAGGACCGGTTCAAATATTCGTCATCGCGCAGTGCACAAACCACTACAATACCACTCCCCCCCCCCCAATTAAATACACACATGCGCAACAACAGGCATAAACTTTTCCCAGGGTGCATCACTGATCCTAGAGACTATTTTCAAATGCCGTAAAAAATGGACGTAGGCACACCCCATGGGAGCAAGAACAACCGAGCTAAGATCAGATGTAGTGTTGTTATAAACGAAGGCGTGTGCTTTTATCAGAAGTTGCCATTTGCCTTCACCCTCCCCTACCAGTGAAATGCAAGCATGCTTGCTGATATCTGGTTGTGGCTATGTACCGCTTTTACTGAATAAACACTTCTGTGTAACCGGTTCAAAGTAAAATGACATTTACAACCATCAGTCTATGGGCCTCCCAGGCCAATATTTCCCACGGGCACGTGTTCTCCATCTCAGAGACTAATTGTCATAGTGTAGCCCGCTATATGTATGCCGCTGTACTATCTAAACGGCTGACTCAGTCAGGCCCTGTTTCTACGCTGTACGAACGCTGGAACCATCAGCAGCAGCTGTAATACTGGTAGGAACCGCCAGGTTACACCAGCCCACAGGGGATTATTGTGTCCGTCGTCCATCCAAAAATGGGAGGGGTGGGGCTGAGTGGAGAGGGGAGGGTGGGGAGGGGCTGGGTGGGGAGGATGGGGAGGGGCTGGGTGGGGAGGGTGGGGAGGGGCTGGGTGGGGCTGGGTGGGAGGGGTGGGGCTGGGTGGGGAGGGGCTGGTCACCCCGTGGTGCCCTTATAAAACTCAACGTTTAACCTACTCACGCCGGCTTGTGCCCGCTCTCAGTCGGGCATATTTGCGGAATACACCACGCCGCCGTTGACCCTGGCCATTGACCGAGCAAGCTAACGTTCCTACCAGCTCCCTCCGCAGGAATGTGTTCGAGTTCTCTGAGGTCACCTTCACTGTGGTCGGAGATCCGGTGTGCAGATTTGGCACCGAGCTGCTCATCTTCCCTGGATGAGTTTGCATTTGCATCCATGCCTGGCGGTGTGAGAGGAACAGGGCATTCAGTGCGATACGAATTACATGGTGGTGCACAAGCACAAATATCACGAGAGAAAAAAAAAACACGTGTCAATAAGACTTTTGCCTCAAAATAAAAAATATTTGTAACAGGTGACGCTTCAGGCAATGGCAGAAAGTATTTGATGCGTTGTGAAAAAATGCCCATGGCCTGAAACGTCCCCAATTAGATTTTTCATTTTATGTTGACGCACGTTTTGAGTTTCAGTCCAGGCCGCTTTACAGTTTGTTCAATTCATCAATTTTAACCCAACTTTTCAATACGTTACGAAGCATACGCGTTCCGTGCAGAGGTAATTTCTGTGTGATCTCATCTGCTGATGACCGTGTGACCTGATGAGGCCAAGGAGATGCATTCAGTCGACAGGATTAACTTGAATCTGTAGAATCCGATGGTTAGAGATGGAGTCATCATTAAAAGTGTCTAGGTTAAGGCTAGGATAGAGGCAAAGTTAATGCTATAGGTAAAATTGTAATGTCATTTACTGGGCTATAGTTAATGCAGGAGTCAGGATGGGTTAGATGAACGGTCAAAGTTAATCAGGACACGATTAAAGATATATTCGGCACTTGAGATAGATAATGCTATTGTCAGGGTTAGGGTTAGGGCCAGGGCTAATCCAGGGGTCATAGTCTTAGGGTTTGAACCAGGGTCAGAGAGAGGTGGAATGCCTGTGTGAGAGCTAAGATCATGGTTATCGTTAGGGATAGGGTTACAGCCAAGGTGTGGGTAAAATACTCCGGTCAGAGTCAACGCAAGAGTCGGTGTTTTGGGTCAGTGTGGGAGGTCAGGTCAGAGATAATGCAAGGGTCAGAGCAGGGGTTAGGGTCATTGGAACAGGGATGGTTTGAGGGTGAGGGTTTTGTCTCGGATCAAGGTTAGGATCATGGCTAGAGAAAGGGTCAAAGCTAGGATCAAGACTAGGGTTAGAGTCGGGGCTAGGGTTAGGATCAAGGTTAGGATTGGGGCTAGGGAGGGAGCTGGTAGGAACGTTGGGTTGCTTGGTCAATGGCCAGGGTCAACGGCGGCGTGGTGTATTCCGCAAATATGCCCGACTGTGAGGGCGGGCACAAGCCGGCGTGAGTAGGTTAAACGTTGAGTTTTATAAGGGCACCACGGGGTGACCAGCCCCTCCCCACCCAGCCCCACCCCTCCCACCCCCCACCCAGCCCCACCCTCCTCACCCAGCCCCTCCCCACCCCACCCAGCCACCCTCTCCCCACCCAGCCCCTCCATGCACGACGGACGGACACAATAATCCCATGTGGGCTGGTGGAACCAGGTGGTTCCTACCAGTATTAAGGTTAGGATCAGGGCTAGGGTCAGGATAAGGGCTTGGGGTTAGAGTCAGGGATGGAGCTAAGATCACTGCTAGGGTTTAAGATCAGGGCTATGGATAGGATCTTCTTTAGGCCCAGGGTCAGGATCATGGCAGGGGTCAGGATCATGGCAGGGGTCACGATCATGGCAGGGGTCAGGATCATGGCAGGGGTCAGGATCATGGCAGGGGTCAGGATCATGGCAGGGGTCAGGATCATGGCAGGGGTCAGGATCATGGCAGGGGTCAGGATCATGGCAGGGGTCAGGATCATGGCAGGGGTCAGGATCATGGCAGGGGTCAGGATCATGGCAGGGGTCACGATCATGGCAGGGGTCAGGATCATGGCAGGGGTCACGATCATGGCAGGGGTCACGATCATGGCAGGGGTCAGGATCATGGCAGGGGTCAGGATCATGGCAGGGGTCAGGATCATGGCAGGGGTCAGGATCATGGCAGGGGTCAGGATCATGCCAGGGGTCAGGATCATGGCAGGGGTCACGATCATGGCAGGGGTCAGGATCATGGCAGGGGTCACGATCATGGCAGGGGTCAGGATCATGGCAGGGGTCACGATCATGGCAGGGGTCAGGATCATGGCAGGGGTCAGGATCATGGCAGGGGTCAGGATCATGGCAGGGGTCAGGATCATGCCAGGGGTCAGGATCATGGCAGGGGTCACGATCATGGCAGGGGCCAGGACCAGAGTTCGGACCAGGGTCCTGGGAACCCCAGGATTACCTGAATCTCAAGGCCCAAACCTCCCTCCCCGCGAGGATTTCTCCACGATGCCGGCCCGCCCGCCTGCCTCCTCTCTCTCCCCGTGCTCTCGGAGTGAGACGCGTGGAGCCAGGGACACGGGAGGACACGGAGGGACACGGGAGAGACACGAGGTCGTGACAGAGGAGACGACTGATGCCACTCGACTTGCAGGGCAGCAACAACTTGCGCGTGCCATGAACCGGCGTGGATCGATTACCGGCGTGCATCGATTACGTCGGTGTCGATTTACAAAGTTGGCGATTCCGTTGCTGTCGATTCCGCACGTGCACGCTTGTGTTGCCTCCGAAACGTCGTGATTTTTATTTTATTTTACTTTTTTATGTTTTTACCTACGTGGCTTTACCGAAAACACCTAAGAATATGTGCACGCAAAGCTTTAGGGGTAATTCTAGATTTGAAGCTTTGGTGACTGCAATATTCATACTCTTAGGTTTTTTTCGGTAAAGTCACGTAGGTAGAAAATTATAAAAATAAAATAATAATAAATGAAAATAAATAAATTTAATCACGACGTTTCGGAGGCAACACAAGTCTCCGTCTTCAGGTGGGACCGTCACAGCTAAATTGACCATCAACTTATTGGTTCTTTCGGTAAAGCCACGTAGAAGGGAAATAATAAAATAATAAAAACGAAACAATACCATTCTCACGACGTTTCGGCCACAACGCATGCAGCCGTCCTCAGGTGAAGAACAGGGCTGTCGGAAAGACAGCGTCTGAATGAACACCACCAAGCTTGGCAGCGTATATTTAAGCTGTGTTAGAGTGGCAGCCCAGGCGTGAAACACGTGACATTAACACCACCACCGCGAAGATGGAGTGACCAAGTTTATGTATTAGGTGTAGCCCTGTGAGCCATTCGGCTCTTGAATCGGGTGCAACCGCAACAAACAAAAACATGAACAAAAAAACATCTTAAAGTGAATATGTGACTGAGTGCAAACAGAAAATCCAAGAAAAGACAGCAAAATATTGCAGAAAAAAACACCGTACACCAACGCTGTGTGCAAAAATCCCAGTGGGATGCAAGTCAAACAACCAACAACAACCACAAGACAACTTAGATTAAAGCCATCAGTCTAACTCTGTACTACAACAAACATGGCTAAACCAATACACTTTTCGAAATCACCAAAATAAAGCCATGAAACCAATGAGACAGTGATCATAGGAACTGACGGAATTTTCACGATAAATGGCATAAACAACATGTACTACCAAAACCCTGCAGCCATAGCTGGCTGCATGAGTCACCCCACAACAGCAGGAGCATCAATTGGAGTATTATAATTTTTCAATGCAATTGCACGGGGTGAAATAGAATGTAGCAACATGGGGCCGTGGCGGGGTGAGTGAGTGGGGGAGGAATGCGTTCATCCAGCGGTGGATAGAGCCACGTGGAGACGCTGGGAGAAATCGATTCAAAACAAATTGGAATCATCTAGAATCGATGTGCGTCACGTGACGCCGGTCGTCCGCCCCCACCCTTCTCCGCCCTCGCCCCTCACCGGAACCCCCCTTACCCCTCCTACCCCCCACCACCACACGCGCTGCGATTGGTCCGCACAGCCAACCCCCCCCTACAACCGTTACACGCTCTGTGATTGGTCCGCATTCACCCTTACCCCGCCCTCCCACCATCGGTAACCCCCTCAACTTCCCCCCCCCGCCACAGCACGCGCCGCGATTGGTCCGCATAGCTCCCCCACCCCCGATTTTTCCGCACAGCCCCCCCCCCCACTACCGCCACACGCTCCGCGATTGGTCCGCATATTTCCCCACCCCTCACTTTACCCCGCCCCTATTGGTACACCCCTCCCACCCCCCACCGCAACACGCCCCACGATTGGTGCTCCCCCACCCATCACCCCTCCCTCACATCCCCCCCGCAAACCGCACGCGCTGCTATTGGTCAGGCAACAGCCCCCCCCCCCACCGCCCCCGCTTCCCCCCACCGCGTGACGTCACCGCGGGCGCGTGGCAGAACAACCCCCGCCGCCGCGAGCAACTCATCTCCCCCCCCCTCCTCTCCTCCTATTGGCTCCGGGGCGCCGGTCACGTGGCGCCGCGTCGACCAATGGGAGACGTGAAAGAGAGACGAGAGATGGCGGCCGCTGGTGGTGGTTCTTCGTCGTCTTCCCGCGGCGCGGCGCGGAATGGGGGCCTCGAGGTGACCGCCGCCTTCCTCCCTCCCTCCCTCCCTCCCTCTCTCTCTCGCCCCCCTCCACTCCCCTCAGACTTCTCGGCGTGCGAGACGTTCGGTTCACGTGCGAATGCTATCGGTGCCGCCGACGCCGCCGTTTCCGTTGTTGCACGCGAGTAGTAGGGTGCACCTAGCCTGGCACGCGTGCTGTTTGCATCCAGGCTGGTACGTGAAGTGTGCCGAGCCTGGCACGCGAGGATCAATGTTCCGATTAATCGATTATCTTGTCCAATTTGCGCCGCCTATGATGCGGTCTCGTGGTCCGTGCGCTGCCTCGTAATATATCCCCGTTATTAGCTCTTTAATATTACAGGACATCGTTTTTTAGTATATACTTTTTATTTATATACTTTTATATATATACTTGGCATTATTCGTCGATAAAGCGCACGCGGGCACGATTAGATACGGTGCGACTTCAACTGATGACTTGATTGATCATGACGCGTCTGCTGATATAATCAGCTGGAGCCATGATCGATCCACTGCTGGATTAAGGCCTCAAGTCTCCCTCTATCTCAAACATTTAATGTAATAACCCCCCAGAAACCGCTTCAAACACTGTAGATCCAACTTAATCACCGCAGAGGCAGATACAATGCGTCCTTGTGTGCACTGTCCACTATAACAACGCAAGTCAGTCCGCTTGCCACTGATGGCACTTATTTTAGATTCAAACTCCTGTCATCCTGTCAGATCTTATTCGTTGTTCATCTCTTCACTGGCTTCCTGCCGAGTCTTCAAGCAGCATTGCTAAAAAGAAAAAAACAGGAACCCATCCTGGGTGGCTTTGTGAGCACAATGAGACATATGGTAGCGTTTTATGGATGGGGGGGGGTCATCGGTGTCTAATAAAATCAAAACTATTTTTATTTCATCAGGTAAGCCCCACTTAGCTATATATATATACTGTATAGATAGATTTTTCAGAAGCGACCTGGCCACAAATAATATCTCAACGAAGTGGCTTATCACGTGGACATTTATAGCAGGCAAATTTTTAAAAACATGAGTGGGCATCAAATATGGTTGCTGTTGCTAATTTTTTTTTTTATCCTGACCCGAATGTGCGGCCTTTTGTTATTGTGTGAACATTGGCATGTCACGTTCACGAAATTCGTTCAGCTGGAGATCTCTTCCAGAGACCGGGACCCGACTCGGAACACGACTCGGAACACGACTGAGTGTGCGTCCACGAACTTACCCCGGTGCCATCGGATTCCTCCTCCAGTATAAACACAATATTATCTTTCGATTTAAAGCTTTCGTGACTGCAGGGATTCATCTTCTTGGTTCTTTCGGTAAAGTCACGTAGAATGGAAATAATAAAATAATAAAAAATAATACAATAATTCTCACGACGTTTCGGCCACAACGCAAGCAGCCGTCCTCAGGTGGAGAGCAGGTCTGTCGAGTAGACTTTCAGACTGTCTACTCGACAGACCTGCTCTCCACCTGAGGACGGCTGCTTGCGTTGTGGCCGAAACGTCGTGAGAATTATTTTATAATGTTTTATTTTTATTATTTTATTATTTCCATTCTACGTGACTACCGAAAGAACCAAGAAGACACAATATTATCATTCTGAACTTGGGATGGATATTGATGTCGGATGGTCAAACGAAACGTTGAAATAACATTTAAGAGCTGGACAATATCAGGTTGGTTGGGAGTTCCTTTGGAAAGCTGTGCTCGATTTATCAAGGGTAACATACAAAATGTGTCCAAAGTAGAATGCGTTTAATCTGTACTGCACCGCTTGGTAACGTGGTTCAGAAAACGCGGTCGCTACCGAAAAATATTTCAACGTGAAAGACAGACGGGAAAATCATGGAGCGATGCACCCGTGGAATCGCATTTAAAGGAGGAACACGTGGGTTAGAGACCGTACCGCGGGGCAATTGAGACACGTCACGGCGAGAATGGATGGTGGGTGGCAGATGGTCAAGAATAATAACGGCGTGGCAGACGAGAGATGTCGTAATACGGTAGAGCGCGGACGTCAACCACAGCTATGAAATCAACTCAAAAGGCACCTCCGATTAAAAACTGTTGGCTATGTACGGCGCGAAAGAAGTTCAACGTACGAGATCTAGGTCAGCCGCATGCGGCTCTTTTTAAGGACCGCTTCGTGACATCGTTTATTAAGCACCACCGTCTCTAGACGTATTCACATGCATTGCGGTTCTTGAAACTTTTTTTATTACCGAATTCTAAAATAATGGCGGCTTCTTGTTATTTTTGTTGCCAGCCCCTGGTGTAGGTGGATAGTTGTATCCCAGTATCGTGAGCGATCGGTTAGGGGAGGAAGGCCTTCATGTAGAACTGCAATTTCCATGGCTGATGATCATAAATAATCTCCTGTTAATTGTCGCCGGTAAATATTGTGAATATTACCTTCCGGATTTTTGTTAACCAGCAGAATTTGTTTGAACACGTGCACACTCTCGACCGGATTTTACCTCCTGCGTCTCATCAGCAGGCAGGCGTGCCAAGCAAGAACATACTGCTGCTGCTTAACAAAGTGTTGTTGGAAAGTGCTGTTTTTCTACGCCCATTTAGGGGCCGTTTGCCTAAAAAAAACAACGTAATAATTTGACATCGCTTTGTAAATTCGAGGCTGGATGAAGGTCTGCCCACGCCGTGTTGGTCTGTGGAGTTGTTTGGACATTCTGTACCATAGTAGTAGGTTTTTACCCTTTTAAACTGGTACAAAACTGACACCTTTATTCACGGCATCATGTTTGCAATAACCACAACACAAGTAGTCAATAAAGCAAACAAAAAGAAGCAACTCTGATAATGATAATGATATGCACTGTCCTTGAAGTTGATTGGTCCACACCCGAGACGGCTTTCTTTAGAGCCTAGTCCCCATTGGTGTTGGACCAGATGACACCAGAAGGTGTACAACTCAAACACAGTGCAATATCAAGAGTATTGAGAGCTCGGGGTAAGCATTTACACTAAGAGATCTCTTTTACCAGTGGCAAAATATAGTAGTAGGTTTCTGTACCATACTGGTCAGTGTGGGTTGGTAAAGATGAGAAGGGGGTGGGGTGAAGGCCCAGGACCGGTTCAGAAATCACTTGCTTGCCGCAAATGTTATCTGCGGCCAGGGTGTCTTTGTTATCGGAATTTGGGGGTGGGGGGGGGGGGCAAGCTGAGACTGAGCCGCCGTTTTGTTTTCCCGCAGCGGAGGAATGACGACGAGCCGGTGAAGGTGGACAAGTGGGACGGCACGGCGGTGAAAAACGCCTTGGACGACGCCGCTAAGAAGGTGCGTACGTGTGCGTGTATGTTGAACTTAAGTTGGCACAGCAGCGGGTACAGCTGGTGCATCTCCCGGTAATCTCAGTCGGCCAACACACGGCACCTGCCTCTGCCGTGGGCTCCTGTCAGCGAGCCTTCGACACTTCACGTGACCTCGGTGCACCCGGCCTGGTACGGGCGCAGTGGTGACGTCACCGTCACTTGGTGGCGAATGGCGGGTAATGGTATTGATATGTTTAACTTCTTGGAGAATCTTCTTGGTTCTTTCGTAAAGTCACGTAGAAGGGAAATAATACAATTATAAAAATTAAACATGATAAAATAATTCTCACGACGTTTCGGCCACAACGCAAGCAGCCGTCCTCAGGTGAAGAACAGGTCTGTCGAAAAGACAGCGTCTGAATGAACACCACCAGGCTTGGCAGCGTATATTTAAGCTGGGTTGGAGGGGGGAAGGGGCGCCTTGACAAAGGCATTTGCATATCAAGATGAATTTAGCATATTTAGGGAAATGCAGATATGGGATTAGTCACTACTTGTGGAATGTGTAGGAGGTGGGGGGGGGTTTCAAAGTCATTATGCCCGTGCATTATGCAGTATGCAGGATTAGCAGCATCAAAGGGAGGGAGTAGGGTTAGCAGTAATAGAGGGAAGGAATTTTAATAGTAAGGAGCTGCAGCAGCTAAACCACCACGTAAAAAAACTAGAGAATGTTGACGCGAGGGGTAATCCATGGGCCGTGTTTCGAGCGCAGGTGCTGTTGGATAACTACGTCTACGAGGAGAACTTCCGCCTCATCGATTGCCGACTGCTCATCTGCACCGTGTCCTGTGGCTTTGCGCTGTTTGCGCTCGCCTGGGACTACCTGCACCCCTTCCCCGAGTCCCGCACCATCCTCGTCTGCTGCGTTGCGTCATATCCCTCGCGCTCGCTCGGGGGGGCGGGGGGGGGGTCACCCGTTTTCACCCTTCGGGAAAGCCGGTCCAGCGTCGGGTGCACGTGATTGTAACGTACGAGCACCTGCGTGTCGACAAGTCTTTTTGGGGGGATTGTTTAGCTGTACTTCGCCGCGCTGGTCATTGCGCGTTGGTCAAGGTTGGGTGGCGGCAGCGCAGTATTGGTTTGGACATCAGCCATGGCCAGGGAATCCAACTCAGGCATGCTGGTTTCAGAGCGCTGAGCTCAGGCTGCTATGGCACTGCTGCAGCGCTTGTGATCCCGGAAGACCGTATTCCGGTTCCCTGTCACGGATAACATCAGTGGCACAGCGATTTATTTGAAACGGTCCTGAACATCCCATTTACTGACTTGCACTGACAAGGTGAAATATGGTTGAATGATCCGCACGGACCTGAATGGCTAGGTAAGGGGTGGGGTAGTTGGGGGGGTGGGTGTTGGGCTGGGTTGTGTAGGGGGGAGGCGGTGGTGGGTGGTGTTGGGCTGGGTTGTGTAGGGGGGAGGCGGTGGTGGGTGGTGTTGGGCTGGGTTGTGTTGGGAGGCGGTCGTGGGTGGTGTTGGGCTGGGTTGTGTAGGGGGGAGGGTGGTGGTGGGTGGTGTTGGGCTGGGTGGTGTAGAGTGGAGGCGGTGGTGGGTGGTGTTGGGCTGGGTTGTGTGGGGGGAGGCGGTGGTGGGTGGTGTTGGGCTGGGTTGTGTAGGGGGGAGGCGGTGGTGGGTGGTGTTGGGCTGGGTGGTGTTGGGCTGGGTGGTGTGGGGGGGGTGGTGGAGGGGATGCCATCTACCATCAGTGGGTTGACGTAAGGGCTGCACTGGTGTACATATGTACACTGGTTGTGATTGGTTGTCTTTAGAAGTGTGCCGTTTGAACGGCGGCGCGCGCATCTCGCCAGCGTTGCCTTTCCCTGACGGACGCCACACGTACTTCCTGCTCATGGTGTTCCTGACGGTCTACACCTCCTACGTGGAGCAGAACACCTTCCTGGTCGCCAAGGAGAAGGACCGCTCGGGCCTGGACCCCGACAACACGTGGACACTCGCCTCTGGCATCAAACGGTGAGGGGCTACCACCGCCACCACCACCACTCCCCGTTCTCCCGTCTCGTGATGTCGTGTTTTAAATGTTAGCACCCACGTGTGCGTAAGCTTGCGTGCGCCTGCGCCTAACGCACGCACCTGTGGTTTTGAGTAAAAGGTGGTGAGCCGTTAACTACCTCGCCTGGTTATAACAGGTCGTGGTTTCGATCGTGACCCTGAACACTTGTATATTAGGAGTTTGCATGTTTTCCTTGTGGTCACATTGATTTTTCTCCGCGTCTTCCGGTTTTTCTCCTCCGCATTCACAGTCAAAGTGCATTTAGAGTATTTTGTCTGCTATAAATTTCCACACGATGATAAGCGGCTTCATCGAGCCGTCATTTGTGATGGTCGGGTCAATTCTGAAAAAGAGCTGCATAAACACAGTGGGCCTTACCTGGTAAAATACCAAAAAAAATTTATAGTTTAAAAGGTAATTACTGGGCCTGTTGGTCCAAACTCCATTGCATTGCCTTTTGTGATCACGTGCTCTGAACTGCCAGCTTATACACTCGATAAACTTCTCACGCCTCCATCAGAAGTATCTCGTGGCCTTATCTACATTCCGGGGAAGGTGTTTTGGTTTCGTGCCTCGCCAAACGTCTTGGAAGTGGTGGTGGAAGTTACCCACACTTTGCTTCAACACTTGCGGTACCTGCTGTCAATCTTGTCAAGATCTGCTATGTTTATACAGAGGCGGGGTGGGGGGCCAGAGGGACATAATGCAGCATTGTTTCAACTGCCGCTTACTTGAGTGTTCTTCCCTCCACACTTAGAAACATGCGTCTCTAGATTGTTTAGATTACTTGGTTGCTTTAAATTGTAATGTGATAAGCCACTTCGTTGCAGACCATTTGTGGCCAGGTCGCTTTTGAAAAAAGCTGCAAACCTCTCGGTGTGCCTTACTTACCTGGTAAGATAAAATGAATTCTAGATTTGAAGCTTTCGTGACTGCAATAATTCATACCCTTAGGTTTTGTCGGTAAAGTCACGTAGGTAAAAATAAAGAATAATAAATAATTGTATTTCTATTATTTTTATTATTTATTTTTACCTATGTGACTTTACCGAAAAAACCTAAGAGTATAAGATAAAATTAGTTTATTTTGATATATATGTTAAGTCATTTGTTTACCTTTCTCTGTACTTTGCAATGTTGTTTTTGTAATGTAACGTTCTGACCTGCCCCCTTACTGGTCAATCTGAAAAAGAGCTTCATAGCTCATCGGATTCCTCCAGTAGAACTAAATATTTTGATCACTTGGCAATCCTCTTAACAGGCCGGAGACTCCCTTATGGGGGTACCGGCTCGCTGGTTCCGTTGTGTTGGTGCCGCGCCGTTCACCTAACGCCGATCGCGCGCGCCCGTAGGTTTGACGACAACTACACCCTCAAGATGACCTTCAGGGACGGCAAGAGCGGTCGGCACCGCGAGAGCGAGTTCACCAAGTCCGTGGCAAACTTCTTCGACGAGAACGGCCTCCTCCTCGTCGACCTCTTTGAGCCGGAGGTGTCCAAGCTGCACGACGGCCTGTCCAGGGGCAAGAAGACGCAGTAACGCGGGTGTCACGTGGGGGGGGGGGGGGTCGTACGGGGTCACACGCGGGGTCACGCGGGGCAGAGAAACAGGAGCGTCGTCAAAAATGTGCTCGTTTTGCGATCCAAGTGAGAGGACGGCGTGGATGACGACGGAAATAAAATCCACAAAACCCAGGACGACGTGAAGTGAAGCTAAAGAAAAAAAAATAAAGTTGCTTTTCTTAAAAGGTGGGCGTTATAATTTTTACGAAGTTTTTTTGTCGTCGTCGTTTTTCTTTTCCGCCTTTGTGCCGCTGCTTAATTTCAATTGTTGCCATTTAAAACGTGAAGCAGTTTTTCCCCCATTCGAAAACCCCAGAAAGCGCACCCCCCCACCACCACCCACAGGCAGATCCACGTATCGTGTTGAATAAAACAAGTGACATCGATCACCCATCGCCTGACCGTCCTTCCAGGGGCCTGTCCTGCGCAATCGATGCGCAGCTACAATACACGTGACTCACTCACGCTTTGTTTACACGTGCGGTCGTCGGGAGACCGTGCGAACGCCGCCAATCAAACTTCATTTCCACAGGAACGTCATGCAATTTCGGGTGGGTGGGTAGGTGGGATAGACCTTTGCTCTGGATTTGAAGCCAGGATCTTGGTGTCCGCTGTGATTCCCGCGATCGAATGGGGATCCACTTAGCCACCATGGGCCGTACGCCCACCGCGTTTTCTTTAAAGTCGCTCAGCCGTCGTTTGCAGCTGCTGAGAAGCACGGGATTTGTTTGAAGTGGGGTTGGTGGATTGCACGCAGACAATAACCTTCATTTATTTACACTTGTTTTAAGTACCTTTTTTTGGCCAGAGGTCACCAAATGCTGTACAGAGCTAAAAGGTTTATGGAGAGAAGAGAAAAGGTGACAAAGCACCGGTCCAGTGATCAGAACAACCCCACCAAATAAAGACCCCAAGGTAAAAAAAAACTAAACATGTGTTTTAATTATGTGAAAAGGCCTTTAAGAATCCACGTGTGCTCGGGTGGGATTTGAAGCCAAATGCGTGAGGCAAAGCCGCAAGGGGTGGTGATGTTCCAGTATGGGGCTGTACAGAAAGTAGGTTGCCGACTTACCAGTCCAGCGTTATCTATTCATCCCCTCGTACTGAAGTAACCAGTCACATTTTCACGTTTACTTAGAAGTTCATCATATTCCCCATATGTACCGTTCGTTCAAAAAGGGCACTGCATATTACGCACCGTTTCAAGTATTTCTATGACTTGGTCATTTTCATGTGAAAGTTTATACGAACTGCCGCAGAGTGATTGTTTTAGGAGCTCGTCGAGAAATGAGACGGAAACCAGCAAAACGCATGCTTGTGTAGTATTTTTACGAACATTTAGCCTCGCAGTAACTTGCTTGTGTACCGCTTATCGCTTCTCATTAGTTGCAGTTGTTATGAAGCACAGGCGGTCGTTGGGAGGGGTTGAAGGGACACGATGAGACAAGTCTGTGAAGCTAAGGGTTTCTTAAATACAATGCATTGTAACGATTCAGTCTTGTGTGGCATTGGTTTAAAACTTACAACGGATGGGGGCTGCGTTTGCAAATTGGTCTGCGCTGGGTGGTGAGCCGAACCGCGATTGTCCGCAGAGTTTGCGACGGCAACTTACGATGCCTTCCTGGTGCTCGCGTGCATTCGGTGTGGTTTGCATAAATGAACAATTTGGCAAACTGTGCCAGTTTGGAAGGTCCTATTGCCCCCCCCCCCCCCCAGTGGTGCTTATGTACTGGAGGCAGCGAGGGTTGGCAGATCTTCGCACAAATGTTGTGAAATTTCCACCGTGGGCGTTGAGGAGGAGCCTTATTCTTAGGTTTTTTCGGTTAAGTCACGTAGGTAAAAAATTTAAATTAATAAAAGTAAAATACAAATAAAATCACGACGTTTCGGAGGCAACACAAGCTTCCGTCTTCAGGTGGAACCGTCACAGCACGACTGCTGTATCAAGTAAGAGAGAGTCTGCGGTGCACCGAACGTGGACTCTACCTGTCTCGTCTGTATGGGATAGAGTGTTGCACCCTCGCACGCGTGGATTTTCTGTGGGTGCTTCGGTTTCCTCCCACACGTGAACACTCACTAATTGGCAGATAAGACCTTCCTCTGAAGCCCTCTCTTTGTGAGCGAATACTTTGTGCGTTACAAGTTTCAATTTGTGTGTCGCTGGGCTGTCCGTCAGTCACAGCCACTTGATTTTTCAGGCACTCCCCATCATTGTGTGTCCCCGCCCCAGTGGCATCACAGCCACCGCTGCAGGCCCCTCGCCTCGAGGCAGAGGTCGCAAACGGGTTTTGATTCCTTACCCGTACCCAGCCGGGTACGGGTACCCGTACTCTACCCGAAATGAGTGACAAACGGCTACTCACCAGTGACTCACGGCCTACCCGTACCCGGCCGCACCAGGGTCGCAAACGGGTAGCCGGGTATCGGGTAGGGTACGGGTATCGGGTACCCGGTTGCGACCTCTGCCACGAGGTGATGAGTCCAGGCGACGTCGCGGCGCGCCGTGCACGCTGGGAGCCGACGCTCGATTGCCCGGTGCACGGGTGGGGAATATGGAAAGGCTGTTGATATGTTTGTTGAACTTCTTTTGCACCGTACATAGTCAACCGCGTTAATCGGAGGTGCGGCGGAAAGGGCAACAAACTAAACGTAAAAAGCAGTTTGAAAGAAATGAGTTTTCAATCAAGATTTGAAAGTGCACTGCTCCAGTAGCTTCCTAATATCAGAAGGAAGAACGTTCCAGACGGCCGCAGAAGCGCGTATGAATGCGAGCCGAAAGCCGCTACTGCGAGGATGACCGGAGTTCGCATGATAGGACAACAAACTAAACACAAAACGCAGTTAAAAAGAAATTAGTTTTCAACTTCGATGATTTAAAAGTGCATAGACGGAAGAGCGTTCCAGACGGCTGCAGATGTGCATCTGACAGCGCCGCGCGGTCATCGGCAAGGTGGCCTCATTGTGGGCACTCGGAGTGAAATAAACGCAGAAAGGATATAATACTGGGAGGAACCTCTTGGTTCCACCAGCCCACAGGGGATTATTGTGTCCGTCCGTCGTGCATCAAAAAATGGGAGGGGAGGGTGGGGAGGGGAGGGTGGGGCTGGGTGGGGGGTGGAAGGGGTGGGGCTGGGTGGGAAGGGGCTGGGTGGGGAGGGGCTGGGTGGGGGGTAGAAGGGGTGGGGCTGGGTGGGGTGGGGCTGGGTGGGGGGTAGAAGGGGTGGGGCTGGGTGGGAAGGGGCTGGGTGGGAAGGGGCTGGGTGGGAAGGGGCTGGGTGGGGAGGGTGGGGAGGGGCTGGGTGGGGGGTAGAAGGGGTGGGGCTGGGTGGGGAGGGGCTGGGTGGGGGGTAGAAGGGGTGGGGCTGGGTGGGAAGGGGCTGGGTGGGGAGGGTGGGGAGGGGCTGGGTGGGGGGTAGAAGGGGTGGGGCTGGGTAGGGAGAGGAGGGTGGGGCTGGGTGGGGGGTGGAAGGGGTGGGGCTGGGTGGGGAGGGGCTGGGTGGGGGGTAGAAGGGGTGGGGCTGGGTGGGAAGAGGCTGGTCACCCCGTGGTGCCCTTATAAAACTCAACGTTGAACCTACTCACGCCGGCTTGTGCCCACCCTCACAGTCGGGCATATTTGCGGAATACACCACGCCGCCGTTGACCCTGGGCATTGACCGAGCAACCCAACGTTCCTACCAGCTCCCTCCGCAGGAATGTGTTTTCTGTACCAAAATGTAACAATAGGTTTTACCCTTTCTGGCAATGAAACCGTTGTGTCGATATGTTAAAACACCAAACAGAAACCTTTAGCAAAGAATCGTGTCTGCATTAACCAGACATACTTGTGGTGAACATGCAAACAAAATAATGCTCTGGTAAAATCTTGACTTAAAGCTTTCGTGACTGCAGGAATTCATATTCTTTGGGTCTTTCGGTAAAGTCACGTAGATGGGTTCAAAGAAAAATTGTGCCATATGGAGTTTTTTGTTATTTTCTTTGAACCTATCCACGTGACTTTACTGAAGGACCCAAAGAATATGCTCTGGTAATGTTTGCATTGTCTTATCAAACTGATTGGTCCACATACTTAATTTGGAGCTTTCGTGACTGCAGGAATTACTCTTTGGTTCTTTCGGTAAAGTCACGTATGAAGAAAAAATAATAAATTAAATACTAGCATACGACGTTTCGATTGCAACACAAGCAATTATCAGGTATAAATAAAATAGAAACACAAACCTAGTATACTTAGAAATGTAATGTAATACAACAGAGAGTCGGATAACATAACAGTCAACACCCTACCTGGTTGATTACGTTCTTCCTGAGAATGCTAAATTTGAGAGAGAGAATAAACACAGAACCAGATACATATAGACAGACATATAAGTACAGACATATCACAGAGATACATAGAGAGAGAGACGTACATAGGCACACAGAGAAACGTCTCTGTGTCGAGGCCACACCAGAGACAGCTTTCTTTAGAGCCTAGTCTCAAACAGTGTTCGACCAGAGGACGCCAAAATGCGAACAGCACAAAGACACTGCAGCTGTCAGGGCATCCATAGCTCGAGGTGAACAGCTACATCAAGTCTCTGCTCCCAGGCTGCAACAGCACACACGAACCAACGTGGTAAAAAATTTACCCGTAAAAACAAAGTTTTTCACTATAAATCCTTTATATGCGTGGCGGCTAGAGTCATCTCGTCCTCTGGCTTGAGATGGCTGCCACCTATGGGTCAGATGATTGCTTGCCACCATTAAGCAATTGGTAATTAAATATTTTTAAAAAATTCCCTAAACAGTGTCAAATTTTGGAAAAAAAATTTTCACGAAAATTAATTGTCACGCACAACGAGTCTGTGTGCAAAATGTCAGCTCGATTGGATCACGGGAAGTGGGGTAAAAAACGACCAAAAGATTTGCACGGTCGTAAGCAAGCAAGCACGCAAGCACGCAAGCGAACTTAATATAAAGGATTTAAAAAGTAAGGTCAAATATTCCGCACGATTTGCAAGGAAAGCCTTAATCATCCATCCGCAGTGGATTGGAACACGACGCGTTGTACACTCATGATGCTGTGCATGCAGTCGTTCTGTAACCAGCACTCGCCAGAGGTCGCAACCGGGTACCCGATACCCGTACCCTACCCGATACCCGGCTACCCGTTTACGACCCTGGTGCGGCCGGGTACGGGTAGACCGTGAGTCACTGGTGAGTCACCGTTTGTCACTCATTTCCCAACGTCTTGTCTCTTCTCACAATTCAAGTTCCTAGAATCAACCCACCCGCGCCTGCAACGTGGCTTCATCCCAGAGGTCGAAATCAGGTACCCGATACCCTACCCGTACCCGGCTGGGTACGGCCGGGTACGGGTACCCGTTTGCGACCCTGGTGCGGCCGGGTACGGGTAAGGAATCAAAACCCGTTTGCGACCTCTGCTGTGTGGGCCACCTGGCTGGGCCACTGCACGCGGGGAAGGGATTCTGAATTTCGCCTCCCGTGTCTGCCACGCGGCGCGGCCGTCACTGTTCTTGTCACTCCCCGCACCTCCGATTGGCACGGTTGGCTACGTACGGTGCGAAGGAAGTTCAACGTAGATGCACACTCAATATTCCATTCGTGTGTCGCCACTTTCTGCCTTGCTAAGACTGTAGCGTCCACTCTCCTCACCACCACGCGGAGACAGGTAAGCGTTTTAGTTTATTCTTTCCATCACACACAGCTCCCTCCTTCATCCACAGCTCTCTCTCTCCTCCACGCAACTCCCTAACGACGATCCCTTGCACTCCCACGGACCCCATCTCACATTCCCTCATCCGTGTCTCCTGATGTCCAGCCAACCAATCCCCTTTCTTCATACTAAGGGGGTTCCTCCCGCTGAACTAGGTTCAGAGCTTTGACATTCAGGGGGTAGGGAATGGTGATGTGTGGGACCGTTATTGGGGGCTGTTACATGACAACAGCTATACTACTCATTTCATAGCCGACAGCGTCGTTCACACAACTGCATCTGACCACAGTGTGAGATCAAGGCCTCAAAATAGCCCTGATATTGCTTCCCCCCGCAAGGCATCCATTATTCATCTGTACATTATTTAACCAAGCTGGTGCCGCTTGTAAAGTGCTGCTGCAGCGACTGGCGGCTGCCACGATGCCATTTGGGCGTCTCTGCACCGCCGGAAAATTCAGGAGAGGCCCACAGTTTTTTTCTACAGATTTTCAGGTTCATTTATTAGGTATAGCCCTGTGAGCCATTCGGATCTTGAATCGGGTGCAACCGCAACAAAAAACACATGAACAAGAAAACATCTTAAAGTGACTATGTGACTATGCGCAAACAGAAAATGCGGGAAAAAAACTGCAAAGTCTTTCAGAAAAAGCACCGTACACCAACGCTGTGTGCAAAAATCCCAGTGGGATGCAAGTCAAACAACAACAACAACAACCACAAAACAACTTAGATTAAAGCCATCATTCTAACTCTGTACGACAACAAACCAAAAAACT